TCTGACTCCATAGAAGATGCAAATGAAGCCCGGAAGGTTAAGAAATCCAGCCTAAAAGGGGCTGGCTCTGGAAGCTTCCCCATACTGCCTCTCGCTTCTACTCGGTGATCACAATTCCTATTTTTGGTTCTCATGATCCAGCAAAATCAAGTTTTTGTGTGGACTCTTTTTGAACATGTAATTGCAGCAGAGAAAAGAGTGCTGTCTCCTGGAAGCGAGAGGCTGCTCCCATACATCAGTCATAGGAATAAATGATGTCACTGACTTGCTTTTTGGTCTTGGCAGACAGGAAACTTGTGAGAGTTAAAGATCATCATGACCCTTTTGTGTGAGCGTTATGTCCTCCTTTGCCCCATCCTGCCTTTGATGTTCTATTTTTATTTCAACGACACTCTGCTGTATGTACTGGCCCAAAGGAGTGGGCGTTGTATCCGCTCAGCTATCACGGATCAGTTTCCAGGCAGTAACAGGGGAAAAGCCAGTTTCTCCCACTCCTGGGTTTGATGATAGGAAAAGGGACAAGCAAAAGTGTGCCCTGCACCTTCCAATTCAGATCGGGCACCAGCAATCCAAGAGTCAAACTGAAGATATGTCATGTTTATTTATTGTCTGTCTGCATCTCAAAACCATCTGAAAACCCGCAGAGTGCTGAGACTGGGGTTTCACAGGAAACTGAAGCTTCTCAATTTGATTTGCTACCGCAGGCCTGAAGCTGGACTCCGCCAGCTGTCCTCTATGCCCTTGTGTGTGACTAGGTGGGCCTGGGGTGGACTTCAGCTGAAATGCTCTGACAAGTTCAGTTTCAGGCTGGAGCCCCCGCTGGGTGCCACAGGACTGTTCCCTCCCCGCGGGTGTGTGCCCCAGTCCCACATGTTTGCGCAGACTGCAGTGCCAGCTGTAGGCTCCTGCATGTCACTGCACACTCTCCTTAGGCTGAGAATGTAACAAGGCCGTTTCTGTTCCTGAGGGTGGAGGCCAGAGAGGTCAGCCACAGATGGGTGGGTGGCCTTGGTGTTCCTACCAAATAGATCTTGACCGAGAGGCAAAGGTCTGTGCAGAAAAGGAAAGGGGAAAGGGATAGGTCACTGACGTGAGGTCAGGCTGGAATGGTCACCTTCACTCCCGTTTGACTGATGACGAAACAGGCTCAACCAGGCCTCAGATGGGGAAAAGGTGCCAGTTGGGGTGCAGGTGGGACCTTTAGAAGCTGATATATCCGGGAGCATCTCCTGCTGTGCTGGGCTGTCTGGGATCCCCTTCACCAGCAGGTCCGACTGGCCCAGTGCAAGGGGAACTGGAGCCACAGAAGAGCCACCTCTGGCCCTGTGCCTCATACACAGATGTCATGAGGACGGCTTGGACATGGCCCTTTGAGAAATGAGACCCACGCGAGGCAGTTGGTGGAGAGCGGGGTGTGTCAAGGGGCCATCTCCACGGGCCAGAGAGGGGAGAAGAGGGCTCTGAGAGGCCCAGAGGCCCCTTCCTCCTAGGGTGTTCGCTTCTGCTCCGTATCTTCCCAGATATCAGTGTTCACCACTGGTGACTGTTCCTGTTGTCAGTCTCTACAAAAACTGTGTCACCCAGAACCTGAGGAAGGCAGTGTGTGACGCGAGCAAAGACGTGGGAATCCGTGAATCCTGGGGCAGGGCTGCCCTTGGGGAGGAACCTCGCTTCTGGGATCACAGTTTGGGCCAGAAGGTCCTCTCCCTGATGAGATTGGCACTGGGGGCAGCGTGGTGCCTGAGAACCCCAGGTGGGGAGAAATGAAGTGTGTGACCTCTGGGGGCCCCCATATGGGATGGCATGAATTTCAGTTTGGGAAGAGGGCAGTTTCAGTTTGGGACGATGAAAAAGTTTTGGATGGGTGATGGTGATGGTTGGACAACAGTGTAAATGCACTTGTCTTTTTTAAAATAATATTTATTTATTTATTTGGCTGTGTCAAGTCTTAATTGCGGCCTGTGGGCTCTTTATCGCAGGCATGCTGGCGTCTCTCTAGCTGTGTCTAGTGTAAATGCAGTTAACGCCACTGAACTGTAAAATTATTAAGATGACAAATTTTATGTTTTGTGTATTTTACCACAACTTAAAAAAACAAGTGCAGTAAAACAACAATAAAAAATTGTAAATGATTCAGAGTTATGTTAAATGAAAAAAAAAGACTCCAGCCCTACATTCTTTACACCCAGTATGTGGGCTGCTTAAGAGATAACCCATGGGACTTCCCTGGTGGTCCAGTGGCTGGAACGCTATGCTCCCAATGCAGAGGGCCCCGGTTCGATCCCTGGTCAGGGAGCTGGATCCCGTATGCTGCAACTAAAATCCTGCATGCCACAACGAAAATCAAAGATCCTACATGACACAACTGAGCCCCAGCACAGCTAAATATTAAGTCTTTTTTTTTTAAAAAGAGATAACCCAGTATCTAAAAAATATGATACCACCACCACCAATGAAGTTCCCATGTTTTGAGCTAATCAGTTAACATGTGCTGACTCCTCTGGTCTCATGGAAGTTGTCCAAAGCCAACGCAGCTAGGAGGTGATGAAACTGGTGTCCGTGCCAGAACCTGGACTCTGAGCAGCTAAGCTCTGCTACTTCTTTATAAGATAAAAGCTGTCTTATAAGATGCTGTGCTGTGCTTACTTTCTCAGTCATGTTCGACTCTTTGTGGCCCCATGTACTGTAGCCTGCTGGGCTCCTCCGTCCATGGCAATTCTCCAGGCAAGAATGTTGGAGTGGGTTGCCATGTCCTCTTCCTGGGGGTCTTCCCAACCCAGGGATCAAACCCAGGTCTCTCGCATTGCAGACGGATTCTTTACCATCTGAGCTACCAGAGAAACCCATGAATACTGGAGTGGGTAGCCTCTCCCTTCTCCAGGGGACCTTCCTGACCCAGGAATTGAACTGGGTGGATTCTTTACCAGCTGAGCTAACTGGGAAACCCATCTTATAAGACAGTTCCATTTAAAGGAGTAGTATGTCAGTGCCAGTAAAGGAAACAGGGAAAAAGTCACCCATTATCCCTCCTTCGGCCTTCTGGATACTTTTGTGCATTCCTTCTGGCCATTCCTCACTTGCGCCCACCCTGTACCCTTTGTCCTGCTTTTCCTCGGATGGGGCCGCCCCAGAGCCGAGCCACCTGCAGAGGGGAACAGGAGTGCTGAGGACATTGCATGTGAGTGGTTCTGTCCTTGCTGGGTGAATGACAGTGAAACCAGCCCCAGGTTTGAATCCACCAGCTCTTTGGCTGGGAACAAGCCATTTCACCCATCTGAGCCTCAATATGCTCAAAAGTAAAAGGCAGAGATATCTGTCAACCACCAGAGATTGTTGAGAACATCAAATAAATGTGTATGGCCTTCCACGTGCAGTGCCGTGAATTTAGGCCTTATTATTGTTCTAGTCCCAAAGCTCCTGTGTGAGAAGTTTGGTCCCGTGGCAATGACCAGTTTTATTTACTGAGAGACACAGTTTGTGTGTGTGCTCAGTCATGTCAGATTCTTTGTGACACCATGGACTGTAGCCTAGCCTAGGAGAATTCTCTATCCATGGAATTCTCCTAGGCAAGAATACTGGAGCGGGTTGCCATTTCCTCCTCCAGGGGATCTTCCAGACCCAGGGATCAAACCTGAGTCTCCCGCATTGGCAGGCAGACTCTTTACCGCCGAGCCGCCCCAGGGAGCCCCAAGATGCAATTTACCTGTTGGAATAAATGCTCCTGCAGACCCGAAGGCTGGAGGTGTTTTGTTGAATCCCCACCTGCTGCCCATGTGAGCACGAGCGAGTGGCCAGTCTTCCCCACACTTCGGGGCACTCTGTTTTTTTGATTCTCAAAAAATATGGGTCCACCTCCCACCACCAGGAGGTGAAGGGCCTTGAAGGCAGGGCTGTAGAATTTGGATTTGGTCTGGGAGGAAGTGGGGGGTGGGGGAGGTGTCAGAGGGTTCATGTGGGGGGTGTGTGTTTTATCCTGGAAGTGGGGAGTCAGAAGGGCTCTAAGCAGGGAAGTGGCAGGGCCAGGAAGGTATCTCAGTAAGATGAAGCCTGGGGAGGGCTCTGGAGGCCACTGGAGCTGGAGGCCGGGACCAACCCGAGAGGACGGCAGTGCTGGGGGAGGGGGGAGGAAGCCAATTCTTAGGAGCAGGCTTTGTGGAAGCTGGTGGAGACACACCCTCCAGCACCTTTGGGTTTCCCAAATCACTGCAAAGAGGAAGTGATTACTCTCAAAAGGCAGCTGACCTCCACCCAGGCTCCTTCAGCAGGTCCTGCCTACTCAGGCTGTGTGATCTCGGACAAGCCACTTAACCTGCTCTGGCCTCAGAGTCCTCATCTCTGGCAGGATGCACTGAAGGACCCTGGGAGGATTTCATGCTTGCAGAACTGGGGCTGACCAGACGTCATGGCTCGCAGTTGACGTGGCTGCTATTTTCAGGCTTCCCATCTCTAAAACTGGGAAGGATGCACGTGTCTGCATTGCTCATGGAAGGGGAAGCTGGAAGACTGGCAGACCTTTTATACTTAGGGGCTCAACTGGGGACTCAGCGGGGTGGAGGTCTTTGAGGTCCCCCATGTGTCCAGGGGACTTCATGGTGTACAGAGCCCTTTCATGTCTGCACTCTCATTCCCTCCTCCCAACAGCCCTGTGAGGGGAGCAAGCAGATGTTATCATGACTGTCAGTTCTGTCTCACAGGTGAGGAAACAGGCTCAGAGAAGGAAAGTGACTTATCTAAGGTCATACAGCTGGTAGGATTGGAAGTCAGGTGTGTCTGACTCAAGAGTGTCTGAGCTGGACAGTCACAGAGATTGTCAGGTCCAAGCGCTATACCTTACATGTGGGGAGGCCAAGGCCCAGAGAAGGAAACAACTTTCGGGGCACATGAATTTAAAGCCAAGGCCAGACTCTGAGCCAAGTCTTTTGACTTCTCCATCCAACCTCTCGATGGCTAATCCACTTCATTGAATGATAATAGCTTGCTTTCTTCCTACCTCATTTCAGGGAAACCAGTTCTTGAAATCAAGTCTTCCATCCCAGACTTCTTGGACACTGTGAAGCCAGGAAAGCCTTTGGCAGCTTCTGTGAGAAACACTGAGGATGAGCAAGAAACGGGGCAGCCTGTGAGGCCACCCACCTTTCCAGGCTCAGGTAGTTTTAATTAAACTTAATTTTTCAATTTAAAAGAGATTTATTTAAGGAACTGTTTTATCTCTAAGGCTATTTAGCTCAGAGTATAATAGCAAAAAATTGGAAACAACGAGTGTGGGTGGCAAAATTAATCACAGATGGTGGTAACAGTAAAATCCTGCTAACAATGATATAGGGATGTATATACATGGGCTTCCTTGGTGGCTCAGATGGTAAAGAACCTGCTTGCAATGTGGGAGACCTGGGTTCAATACTTGAGTTGGGAAGATCCCCCGGAGGAGGGTATGGCAACCCACTCCAGTATTCTTGCCTAGAGAATCCCCATGGACAGAGGAGCCTCGCGGGCCACAGTCCACGGGGTTGCAAAGAATTGGACATGACTGGGCAACTAAACACAACAGAGCACATGTATATACACATGGAAATATGCTCGTGATATGTTGAGGTTAAAAATGTCAGGCGACAAAAGGATATATGCCATCTATTACCTTTTTTTTTTTTTTTTTGGTTTGGCCTCACTGCACAGGATGTGGGATCTTAGTTCCCCAACTAGGCGTTGTTCCCTGAATTTGCAGAGCAGAGTCTTAACCATTGGACCACCTGGGAAGTCCCCCATTTTTGTAAAAAGGAAAAAGAAACTCAGTAACAGAGGGCTTTGTATGTGTTACAGACTGTTCTAAATTTACCCTTCAAAGATGTTGACCTTTTTAACCTCCAACTAACTGTAGGAGTTCGGTATTATTTTTCTCCGCATTTCACAGATGAGGAAACTGAAGCACAGGAGAGGTTATCATCATGTGTGGCAAGGAATCATATACCTTGGAGTTGCCACCATGTAAATGCTCATTAAACGTTAGCTGATCTTAGGAACATTCCAAGCACCCCAGCTAGGTTGAGTCTAGAAAGTTAATTCTAGGCCAAGTAGTCTGAATTATTTCCTATAGCCTACCAAGTTCATATGCTACGGGCCCAGGTATTTTTTTTTTCATTTATTTTTATTAGTTGGAGGCTAATTACTTTACAATATTGTAGTGGTTTTTGTCATACATTGACATGAATTAGCCATGGATTTACATGTATTCCCCATCCTGATCCCCCCTTCCACCTCCCTCTCCACCCGATCCCTCTGGGTCTTCCCAGTGCACCAGGTCCGAGCACTTGTCTCATGCATCCAACCTGGCCCAGGTATTTTACCTTTGGTTCCCCAAGCCCCAGCACAGGCTCTGGGCAAGGAGACTAGTGACCTCTTCATCTGCTCTCCCCAGGCCCCTGGCCCTTGCAGCGATGTTGGGGGTTGCCAAGGGGTGCCGCCTGCCCCACAGCCTTCCTCCCCTCTGCCTGGCACAGATCTGCTGCTTTGTTCTGTGGAGTTTGAGTACAGAGCGTGAAAGTGACTTGCTCAAGGTCATGTGGGTAGGAAGTAGCATCTGAGCCATGTAATTTGAACGCTCATGTCCCCAGCCACTGCACACACCACTGCCCCAAAGCCTCTCAGCCCACTTCAGTTGTCTCCACCTCCTTGTCCCCGGGGAAGGACTCAGCCAGTAGGTGACTTCCGCAGGGGACCTGTTCTTCACGCCATCCTTCCCACAGCTCCCCTGGAGTCCCACCCACCTTCTGTTCTTCTGCAGTCTCCTGAGTAGAGAGCCAGAGACCCCAAATCCATGAAACCTCCCAAATTCGTTGTTGTTGAAGCCAGGGTCAGTGTCAGCTGAGAGGAGCCAGCATGGGCTTTTGCATCTGGCAGACCTATATTTGAATCCCAGCTCTGTCCTCACCAGCAGGAGACTGACTACCTTAGCCTCTCTGTACCTCATTTTCTTCATCTAGGAAATGGGCATAATAATAGAAACCACATCATCCTGTGTGGGAAGTAATCAAACACCTGGGGTTGCCACCATGTAGATGCTCATTAAGCATTAGCTGATTGTAGGAATGTTCCAGACACCCCAGCTAGGTTGAGTCTGAAAAGTTAATTCTAGTCCAAGTAGTCTGAATTATCGCCTCAGCTAAAGAGTTTTTTTGTTAAGGACAGGAGTCTGATCAGTGATGAAAGATAAGGGGATATGGTCCTAAAGCTCATGTGACAGTGGTTGATAGCCAAAGGGAAGGAAAATAATGAAATAGGGAAATTCTAGGAGAGTGCAGGTGAGGCTAGAGAAGATTACTGATATAGCAGCTTCTTTGGAGGTTCCTAAGCTTGGCTGCTGTGAAAACAAGCACTCTGTGTCTCTACCAGCCTTTGCACCCTTCGCTTTCTTGAATGGCACTTGGGAGGAAATGTTCTTAGGCAAGTCAGGACGATAACTATCTGTAGACAGAGACAGGAAGTCTATTGTCTATCTTTGCCCAAGCTGAAAATATGGGTGTGATTATTAATTTCCTCAGGTAATCCAAAGCCAGTCTTCTCTTGGGAAAACTCCAAGATTCTGCTGGGCCCCAGAGTTCCAGCTGTTTCTCTCATAGGAGTGGAGAATGTGGAGGCAAAGGTAGCTGGGGAGGAGGACTGACAGGTGGGATCGGCACCTCCTGGCAGTCACTGAGTCAGCTTGACAACTGAGGGTGGAGGGCTCTTGGTAGCTGGGGAAGGAGACATAACCTGTCAAAACTCCACGGCTGACCAAGCGGTGGGAGTGGGATTCAGCTCATGGGAGTTGTTCCAGAGTCCACATCTTAACCTCTGTATCTCCTGGTCCCCTGGCAGTAGTTGGGAAGGAGGTAGGGAGAGACATGGAGAAGGAAAATACACAAGCAGATGAGCCATGGACAAGTTCTCAGGACCTCCTTAAACAAATGCCCAAAGCTAGATTTCAGATAAGAGGGCACTGAGTGACTGAAGTAACTGTCACAAAGCCTTACCTTTAGGAGAGGCATCGGCTGTTCATCAGAATTGATTTGCTCTCATTCTGTATGTAGTTTTACCAGCCTTTGTACCCCGTATATACCAGAGGCTGATCTTTGTGCTTTATGCCATCTTTTAATCTGGAAAAGAACTCTACAAAGAATGGACTATTACTGTTTTCTTTTGTTGTTATTGTTTCTTCATTTTTACACCTGAGAATGCTGAAATGAGGCACAATTCACCCAAGTTCAAATCTTTAGTAATGACAGAGCCAGGGCGGGAGCTCAGTTCTGTCTGCTACCAAGAAAGAGACGGGGAAGCTGTAGAGGCTGACGCACTGCCTGCCACGGGGAAGGATCCAGAAAACTCCAGAATGAGATACAGCACCCTGCCTGCAGTGACGCAACTCAGCAGGACGAGATTTTGGTGCATCCTGCTTGAGCAAGCAAACATTCTAGAAAGATTTCTGTGGGAAATGGCACACAAAAGATGAACTCTTAGTGTTTTGGAAATGACATTTGTGTAGACTAGTGTCTTCCATGAGTGTTTCCAAAGAAAGCAAAGGCTTGTTCTTACCTGATTTCTCAGCCTTGCAGTACTGGCCCAAATTCCACTCCCTTTTCCCCCACTCTCCACACCAGAGAGATAAACAGACTGAACCACCCCTAGTAGCTCTCCTGTGTCACAAGAGCAGGCCTCAGTGATCCCCCTCCACTGAGAGGCCTGGTGCAGCCCCCAGAGCAAACCCCAGGTATCAGACCAGAGAATCATGGCTGTGTGAGGCCTGTGCGGACCTTGGTGTTGCTGGGCAGTGGGAGAGGGTGAGGGACCATGTGTGCAGCCTAGTGCGGCCACCCTGGGGTGGGAAGAGCGGATTGTGCAGATATGCAGGAGAGAAGCAGCAGGGGAGTCGAGTTGGTCTGGAGCAGCTGTTCCCAGAGTGTGGAGCCTCTGCCCGCCAGTGTACGTGGAACACAGGTGTTAGAGCGTGTATTACATGCACAAAAGACTAGGGATTCAGTGCTGAATACTTCAGATGTGAATCAGAGCAGAGTGAAAGAGAACATCGCGGAGCAGCACGGACGCGTGGCCCACACCTAGGAGGTGGACAACTGTGATCACTGTGACTCAGGCCAAGGGTATTGAGCCGAGATGGCAGGGCAACGGTGGAGGCCTCTGAAGATGGAGTAGCTGCGGGTAGAGCACCCACCCAGGGAGCCTCCCCTCTGCACCCAGCCACCAGCGGTGGGGTGGGGGTGGGGGTGGGAGCTGCTGTGGGAAGCTCAGCCTGGGGGCAGATGCACAGAGGGATTTGAATGAGCAGCTGGTCTTTGGTCAGTTATACTGCCAGCCGCTGGTCTGCAATGTGTTGCTGGTTTTACTTAATTTGTTTTACCTTTTTATTTTTTTAAATTGAAGTATAGTTGATTTACAATGTTGGGTTAGTTTCAGGCATACCGCAGGGTTATTTAGTTATACAAATATATATTTCTATTCTTGTTTTTCAGGTTATTCTCCCTTATAGGTTATTACAGAATATTGAGTATAGTTCCCTGTGCTATATAGTAGGTCCTTGTTGGTTATCTATTCTGTATATAGTAGTGTGTATCTGTTAAACCAAGCTCCTAATTTATCTCTCCCTCAACCTTTTCCCTTTCATTTTTTTTAATGGCTGAATAAAAATACCCCATCTTCTTTATTCATTTATTCTGGTTTTATTTTTTCCTTTCTATTGGTCAAAAGTTTAATATCCTTGTCTGAGATATAGTTCTTATTACTCAATTTAAGTTGAGGTGTACTGATGGACAGAGAGAGTATGTGTCACTGTGTGTACACCTGTGTATTTTGGGGGGGGGTGTTTGTTGTTACTACCCCCATTCTGGGGGTCTCTTGTGCAGTGTGGGTGTACCAACATGGTACCTTCTCAAGTGTAGTCCTTTCAAATATAGCCAGTGCTGGAAAATATGGAAAAAAGAAAAAGAAAATAAACAAAAACTCTAGAAGCAGCAGAAAACTCAGGGAGAGAGACTTAGGGTGGCCCCTCTTCTCAGAGAATGAAAGAATCTCAGACTTTGTATCAGGTGAGTTTTGTTTTATTAGCTGCCTGGGTAAATAGTTTTGAAAAGCTGGTTTTAGTTTCACCATGGTGCTGTTTTCAGTCATCTGAATTAATTTTTATGGCCAAAGTTCCACATTAATCACTCCTTTCCTGATGATGTAGGCCAGACATAATTGAAGCAGGTGGATTTCGTCCACAACCCTGGGGCCAAAGTCAGGTTGTCTTGGAAGGGCCAGCTCCCTGTTACACGGAGGCCAGCCCTATGGTAAGACCACTTAGGTATTTCCAGACGATGACATCTGAATCTCTGGCTTCTGGCCAAGGTCCACTTCCACGTGTCTCTTGTGAATCTTCTCCATTTACTAAGGGAGTGAAAGCACAAACTCTGGAGCCACTGACTGGGTGTCTTTGGAAAGGTGGGGTCACCTCTCTGTGCCTTAGTTTTACCACCTGTAAGGAATAGATGATGAGTCTGTCTCCTGCAACTGCCGTGAGGGTGAAATGAGTTAGGTCAGGGAGGCACTGGGAACAGAGCCAGGCATGCTCTCAGTGTGTGCTAACTGAGCCTGCCTGGAATGTTTACCGCAGCCTGGGCTTTCCCACTGCCATACCTCCTTGTGGGCTGGTTCCACGGCCTTGGCGCCCTCCCTTCCTCACAGCTACTTGTTGCAAACGTTTCCCCCTGTTGGAGGTCCAGGTCAAGTGTTCCTTCCTCTGTGAAGCCTTCCTTGATCTCACAACTCCCTGAGGCAGACCTCTCTCGCCTCTCCCCTGGGAGGCTGGTTATTGCCATTCCTGCCACATGGAGGTTTCTAGAAGTCAGGCTCCGTAGCTGATTCACTTGTGTCCTTCTCAGCTGCTTTCGAGGAAGGTGGATTCGGGCTAGGAGTCAGAAGGCACAAGGAGCTCCCTTTGAAGGCTGACTCTGCCACTTACCATCAGTGTGACCTGGGGCTACTAGCCACCTCCAGTGCCTCATTTCTTCCTCCTGTCATGGGGAATTTGTATAGGACCAACCCACAGGGCTGTCAGTAGTCTTCCACAGGGTAACATGTGAGCAGCCTGTAGGCTAGCGCCTGGGTGTCAGGAAATGGCTGCTGTCATGATCGACAGCGTCAGTGGCGTGAATGAGACACTGGCTGGGTCTGGGGACCAGTCAGGGACCCCTCCCACCTTCCTCCAGCAGCTGAGGCCTGATCCACTGTCTTTCCTTTCCAGGACCTGCTGCAGCCAGAGTCAGCCTCCCAGCCTCTCCTGAACATGCCTCTCCTTCCTTAAAAACCGACCAGCCTGCCTCAGCTGATTCAAAGGTAAACCCCCCACCCTGAATGTAACCCCCGGCTTTGACTGTCTTTCAAAAATGCAACATGTTTATTCCCTGAGACCAGTTTGGGGGTTAGAGGTCAGAGTGAAGGGGAGAACCCCATCGAATTACTCTGAACTTCTAAGACTCTTAAGTGCTGACCCTCAATAAAACAGGAGAGAGGGTCAGGGAGAGGGTGCACTTTAGTTTTTAATGAGCTTTTCCATTATTTGTGTTTAAATGAGAGCTGATGATTGGCATCCTCCTCACCCCCTGAAATATCTTGGCGGCAGTAGTCATTTGCTTAGAACATGCCTTCCCTCCAACCTTTTTTCAACAAAAAAATATATCTGATTTATCCTGAATTTTTATGATTTGAGTCCAGGGTCACAAGTGACTTCTGTGAATCTTAAGCACTTTTTGCCTTTCTAGGCTCTTCTTTCATTTAAAAATTTTTTAAAATCATATTTTATGACTGCAGTGGTATAAAGATGAACATAATCCAAGCTGGATTAAAAATTTCAACATTATCTTCAAGGTGAAAAGTACACTTTTATTCTTTAGACTTTGAAAGAAATTATGTTAAGATGTTTTCATGGTGCCTGGCAGGGAAGCCAGTGCTACACAGATCTGGTCAGTGGAGCTCTTCCTTAAATGGGACTGTCACCTAAGCAAGGAGGTTTATATTTTAATAGTTAATCATTGTTAAAGACAACTGAATAATTGGGAGAATAATCATGAAGTAATGTTAAGCGAAAACACCAGAAATCAAAACAATATGTGTGATATGATCTCAGTTTTTATTTATTTATCCTTTATTTTTCTTCTTTTTTTGGCTGAACTGCAGCTTCTGGGATCTTTAGTTCCCAGACCAGAGATCAAATCCATGAACCCTGAAGCCGAAGTGTACAGTGCTAGCCGCTGGACTTCTAAGGAATTCCCACAATCCCAATTTAAAAAAGACATTTTCATATATCTAACTGGCAAGAATTACACCAAACTTTAATAACAGTTAAGAGGATAATGGGATCATGCATAATTAGCCCCCGACTCTAATTCTTTAAAACTGTTTATAAGAGCATGCCGTGCAGTGCTGTGCGTGCATGCTCAGTCGTGTCTGATTCTCTTATGACCCTGTGGACTGTAGCCCGCCAGGCTCCTCTGTGCATGAGGTTTCCCAGGCAAGAATACTGGAGTGGGTTGCCATTTCCTACTCCCGGGGATCTACCTGACCCAGGGATTGAGCCACATCGCCTGCATTGGCTAGTCGGTTCCTTACCAACTGTGCCACCTGGGAGTTCCTTATAAAGCATATGTAACTTTTAAAATCCATGGCTAATTCATTTCAATGTATGACAAAAACCACTGCAATGATGTAAAGTAATTAGCCTCCAACTAATAAAAATAAATGAAAAAAAATAAATAAATAAAAATAAATAAATAAATAAAGCATATGTAACTTTAAAAAATGGAAATTTATATTTACCTATTTTAAGGAGGGCTGCTTTTCTTAGACTTACATAGGTTATGTGGACCTGTATCCTGCTTCTTAGCATGTATACCATGTGTAGGACCAGGGGCACCAGCCCAGTCACTGACCTGGAGTGGAATCTGACTTCAGTTGTTTGACCCTCTGATGCTCACCTTTGTAAACTGAAAATAAAAAATAAAGGAAACATTGACCATGGGCTGGGAATACTCACATTGTAGTTAATCTATAGGTAGAAAGGTAATTTTACCTTTCAGGATACTATGATTATCTTTATTTTTGCTGGTAAGCCAGTGAAGACTCAGAGAGGTTAAATAACTTGTCCAAGGTCACAGAGTAAGTTAGAAGTGGAGCTGGGATCTGTCCTTTTTGTATTCCTCCTCACTGGATGAGATGATCCCATTCACCCCTCAGCTCTGCTGTTCTGAGGTTCCCTGAGGTAGTAGGGAAAATACTACTTTCCATATTAATTCCATATTAATCTCTGTCTCTTCTCTCTGAATTTCCAGGATTTCAGTGCCTCCATTCCTAAGCAAGAGACACTTTCAAGCCTCGCTGAAGATGACCTTTTCTGGAGTGAGGTAGATGTGATCCAGGCAACTGATAACTTCAACCCCAGCCACAAAATCAGTGAGGGGACCTTTGCCGACGTCTACAGAGGGCAAAAGCACGGCACACCATTTATCTTCAAGAAGCTCAGAGAGGTGGGCACTTCTTGGTTTCCAGTAAGAGGTGGAGGCTGCATGGTGAGGCTGGATTTTCATGTTTCAGTGTCTTTTCCCACAGATGTCCTGTTCAGGTCCAGGATCAATTGAAAAATTCTTCCAGGCAGAGGTACAAATTTGTCGTAGGTAAGCCTCCTGTTTGGAAAATACTTTGTTTGATAGTGATGACAGCTAACCTGTATATAGTGCTTCCTATGTGGCAACATGTTTTAAGAATTTTCTTTATGTAATCCTCACAAGAACCCTATAACATGGCTACTGTTATCACATTATTTTACACATGGACAAATTGTGGCACAGAGATGTTAAGTGTTTTGTCCAAGATCACACAGCTAGTATGTGGCAGAGCTGAAATTTGGTTAGTTGATCTGACTCCTTCCATGCTTTTTCTCTGTAGCCACCGTATGCATGGATTAGAATTATAAAAGAACCTCGGCTCACTTGGCTCAACTCCTTCCTTCCAGGGGGGGAAGAATCTGTTTCTGTCCCATTTTTTGAGATGGACAGAAATGTACTGATTCCAACTCTAAAAGCAAATGATGACGCACAGGTTCAGCCTGGCCTAGCTCTGTTTTAATGGCCTGAGAGCTAGGAATAGTTTTTACGTTCTTAAAGGGTTAAGCAAATAAAAAGAAGACAATTTCATGACACATGGAAAGTAGGTGAAATTCAAATATCAGCATCTGTAATAAAGTTTATTGGAACCCAGCTGTGCTGTTTATTTCTGTGTCATCTGTGGCTGCTCCTTCGTGATCGTGCACAGTGGAGGAATTGCACCAGAGGCCAGATGGCCTACAATGGCTAAAATATTTACTGTCTAGTTTTTTATAGAGAAATTTTGCTTACCTCTGGTCTTGAGCAATAAGGGCCTTCAAAAGTCATCCTCAAATCTGCATTTTACAGATGACGAAACTGAGGCTGGAGAAGTAAAGTGAACCTCCCATCACAGAGCTTAGTGGGGGCAGGGGGACTGGGAAAGAGAGGGGGAGGACATGTGCAGACCTGGACACTTGTCCTGTCCCTACTGTCATTGCCTGATGGATTTACAGCACACATACTAGGCCTCTGCAGTGTGCTGCACGCCAGCTGTCATTCAGGCTGGCGAGTCACTCTCTGAGTTTCTTTGCAAAATATGCAGTCTCAGGCAAGCAGTGTGTGATGATTGTGGTGTATTTTAAGAACTAAAGAAAGTTTTAAAGAGGAAAATAGAAACCACCGATTTTCCATAGCATCTGTAAATTACTGCTACAGTATTCAGATTTTTATATATTTTCTTTAGTCCTTTTTCTCTTCATATATATGTATGACTACACCCAAACACACACACATATACATATATACACACCCTTATCTACACACACACACACACACACACACACACTCTTAACGGAAACTAGAAATCTGATTCCCTCTCCATCTTGGTATAGTGCCTTCCTGGAGTAAGCAGGCATTGCTTCATTCATTCATTTGGCAAATGTGAGTCATCAAGGCCTTTCTTGGTTCTTGGGAGCGCAGACATGAAGAAAACACAGCCTCTGCCTTGGGGAAGTTAATGGTGCCGTGGGGAGAGCGAAATGTAAATAACTAATGATGGTGAAAAGTGTGCAGAAATACAGTAGGATGGCCTAATGGGAAGTGGAGAGGAGCTGAGGGATCTGGCAGAAGGCCCTTGAAACTGTTTGGGAGAGTACATCAGGGTCTGCCTCGAGGTGGAGGAGGGGAGAATGAAGGGGGTGTTTTAAAAGCTATTTATGACAATGAAAGGTGACTAATTAGATGGGGGAGGTAAGGAGGTTCCTAGGAAATTGGATGGTTGGTGGTGCCCTTGGTTGAGCAAATAACTGAGGCTGAAGAATCAGGTTTGGAACTTGTTGAGTCTAGGTTGTTCACCTGGAACATTGGGATGCAATTTGACATTCAGGTCTGGACTGTGGGTTGGACCTGCTGAAATTTAAGGGTGGTCCTCATAGAGAGGGTGTACTTTGTAGAGGTGAGAGACCCCTGATGGAGAAGCTTATGAGATGAGATGATGAGCCCATCCAGGGAGACTCAGGTTTCAGAGAAAGGCAAAGGAAGAGGGTCTTGGTGGGAAAGGCCAAGGAAGAGCTGTCAGAGAGGTAGGAGAGTCGGGAGGGAACAGTGACTTTGAATCCACCAGAAGAGGATTTTGTGAAGAATCACAGGTAGTTGGGATATCATGTACTTCCAGTTCTTTGCTTTCAAGCTCCTTGAAGGCATGTAGTTGTCATCTCTCTACCCTCAGGAGTAAGAGCATTTGGTACCTGGGAGCTTCCTGGTGGCCTCAGGGGGTAGACAGGGCAGAAGAGGTGGAGGAGGTAGGAAATGGAGCAGTCTTTGATTATTCTTTCTGTCTGACTCCTCATGCCTGTACTGATGCCTAATTTCAGATGCTGCCACCCCAATGTCTTACCTCTGCTGGGCTGCTGCACTGGAGAACAGTTTTACAGCTTGATTTATCCATACATGGCAAATGGTTCTTTACAGGACAGACTCCAGGGTCAGGTAAGGGGCTGGGTCATGGTCAAAGAACAGGACTAGGCAGCACTCACTTACAGAATCAAGGATTAAGGACTTAAAGGGATCCAGAGGCGAAGGGGGCCATTGAGAGGACCTTCAAGGAGAGGAGTTGGGCCAAGATAGATAAGATCTGGCTAAACATCTTCAGGAAAAACTTATTTTAAAAGTTTTTTGACAAGGAGGCATTTAAGTCAAGAGTAAGACAAAGGTAACCCATAGTGCTAAATATAGCACTAAATATATCCAGTTTTGTTCTGAAGGTGCAAGCCAGTGCACTAGGACAAGAAAAAGAATGAACAGATACAGAGTATGAAAAGTGAAGGTAAATTTTTCTTAAAAATGATATTCTAATAAATTCCTATTTGTTTGTGAATGTGTGGAATGTTTATGGAGAGATAAACTGGTGCCTTGACTGCCTCTGGAGAGAACTACATAGACAGGGCTCAGGTTGGGAGACAAACTTTTACTACATACTCATTTGACCTTTTGCATATCATACCATATGAGTGTTATATCTATTGTTATGATTTTTAAGACAAACAAGCCTCCTTCTCATAAAGTCCTCAAACAGAGTGACAAAAGTTATTCCACAACAGAATTATTGCTTCCCTTGGGAGGGATCAGACAAAGTGGTTATTCACGGTATAATAATGATTGTTAGCTTTGCTGAGCTCTCACTTTGGGCAGGACACCGTGATAATGGCTTTGTACATCTCCTTCAGGCCTTGCCACAACCCCAGAGGTTTCCCCATTTTCAAAAAGAGGAGTCTCTGCCACAGAGAGGCAAAGTAACTTACCCAAAGAAACATAGCTGATGTGTATCAGGGCAAGAGTTTAAACGAGGTTCATGTGGCTCCAGATTCCAGAGTTTTTGAGAAGAAATCTGTTAGCAAGGCCAGTTCTTAGAGAATATAGAATCTAATCTAATCTTACAAAGTAAGAAGGGATTTTTCTTGGACATTCAGTCTTAGAACAACAGTGGAAGTATAGAGGGCTTTAGACCACCCATAATCTCTAACAGCTCTTGTGAAATCTCTCCAAATACTTATAAAATCATCTCATGTGCTTGATGTGCCAGCACAAGGTCCCTAGCTCCTCTCCCAAGCAGCCCCTCTTAGAGAAGAATTCCAGAACTGCTGCATGATAGTCATGATAAAAATAGCTGCTATTTATTGAGCACCCACTGTATGGCAGGCACTATGCTGGGGGCATACCATTCACTCCTTTGAATCCTTACTACAACCTTAAAGCATAGGGATTAACGTTTCTATTTTATATCAGAAAAAACAGGCTCAGAGACACTGAGTGTCTTTTCCAAAGTCACCCAGCTAGTGTGTGTCTGGGCTGGGATTTATACCTAGATCTGTCTGATGTCAAAACCAGCTCCCTGCCAGTAAACCATGCTGGCTGAGAGCCCTATTGTAGGGGACCTGAGGGCTGGAGGAGAGACAGGAGCCCAGAACTCTGCCACTTTAAAGTTCATTGAGACTATAAAAAGGCACAGATGTCACTATTTTCTCCTCCTTTTCTTTCTCTTAGGGTGGCTCAGACCCCCTCCCCTGGCCCCAGCGCATCAGCATCTGCTCAGGCCTGCTGCATGCGGTGGAGCACCTGCACGGCTTGGAGATCATCCACGGCAATGTCAAGAGGTGAGAGAGGAGGGCTGGGCCCCGCCTAGGGCTGGGGTGACAGGGATGAGGCCACGCACCCTGCTGGGCCCCACTCCTCTCCCTTTGTCTCTCTTTTCTTTGATTTTCTCTGCCCTCCTTGCCTCTCTTGGATCTCTTTTTCTTTGCTGCACCCTGAAACATCAGTGTTTCTAGGTTGTACTCTGGCTCTGCTTGCTGTCAGCATGGCTGCCTATCTCCATGTTTGTCTTTCTCTATCAAAGGTATTTCCCCAACAAGTTGGTTGGTATTTCCCCACAAGCCTTCCATTCCCCTGCCATATTTCACTTCCCCTCCAGCAGCTGATCTGGACTGGGTCCTCGAGCTGTGGGCTGTGACTGCCAGGCTCCCTGGGCTTTTGAGACCTGCTCTCACTCGTGCATCTGTTGTCACAGATACCGTGACACAGGTTAGGTGTGCGCCCAGCATCTCAGTACCATGCTCCCAAGACTAGAAACATGGAGATGGATTCTAGAAGATACCAAGAGATCTGGCAACAGTGACCTTGAAACCATAGAATTCACACTTCCCCAGAGTTGTGTCCTCTTTTGGCCAGTGGAAACCCTTTCCTCTTTTCTCCCCCCTGATTTTTATTGAATTGCGCAAACAATTGTAATAGTAAGAAAGGAAGTGAAGGGGCAAGAGGTCTTCCTGACCCTGTCACTGTGACTCACCACGTGGCCTCCATTTCTCTGCTGTTTTTTTTTTTTTCCAGCCCCTGCCCGCACAGATATCTCAGCCCTAAGATAGCACCATTACCTGATTACCAACTCATAGTCTCTTTTTCCCCATGATTTAAACATTTCCTCACGTTGCAGGTCATCAATTTTTTGGTACTTCTTAGTCTTCCATTGAAGATATTTGCCCATAATTTATGTAACAACTCCTAATAGCTGATATTGGAATTGGTCTCTACTTTTTTGGGGTGACAAAATGAAAGGCTTTGTTGAAAAGGGGTGTTTAAGTGAACAGCAGGGTCAGGGAACCCACGAGAACTGCTCTCTGTATCTACTTTTAAAAAACCATTTAGGGTTAGTTTGAATATTTCTTTTAAACGTTTTTTTTTTTTTAATGTGGGTCATTTTTAAAGTCTTTATTGAATTTGTTATGATATTGCTTCTGTTTTATGTTTTGATTTTTTTTTGCCATGAAGCATGTGGGGTCTTAGCTCCCTACCCAGGGATTGAACCTACACACCCTGCATTGGAAGGCAAAGTCTTTTTTTTTTTTTAACTTTTTGTTTTCTATCGGGGTATAGCTGATTAACAATGTTGTGATAGTTTCAGGTGAACGGTGAAGGGACTCAGCCATACATATAGATATCCATTCTCCCCCAAAACCCCCTCACACTGGAAGGTGAAGTCAATCACTGGACCATGAGAGAAGTCCCCAATTTGAATATTTTTATACATGTAGGTTAGTTTTTAAAAATTAAATTTTTTTCCTTTGGAGTACTTTCTGAGAGGATTCATTCCTGTAGATTAGATGCTTAAGTCTAGGAATATTTTTACTGTTCATCTTATTCCCCATGATCTGAGCAGGTTCAGTCCCAAAGAATGCTGACGTTTAGACTTGAGTCAGCTAGGCCATAGCTGGGGGTTGGAACAGCTTCAGAAGAGATGGAGCCAGTACAGCCTCTGGGCTCAGGGCTGACATCCGTGGGGATAACGATGGCCGCACCTCTCTGGCCACCAAATGCCATTTCTGGGGCAGCAGGACTGATCTTAGCTTCATCCCCATTTGCTGGTGGAGGTGGGCTCCCAATCCCCACCTACCCCCATCAGGACTGGCTCATAAACTTGTTGAGGGTCTTCAGTGAACCTCACTTGCTGGCACTGCTCACTACTAAGTTGCTTTCCAAAAGGGTCTCCATAGCAACCTCTTCTTGTCCACCTCCAAACAAGAAGGTTCTCTCTGCCTTCTTTCCCACAGCTCCAATGTTTTGCTAGATCAAAACTTCACCCCCAAGCTGGCTCATTCGATGGCTCACCCATGTCCTGTCAATAGAACATCAAAATACACCATGATGAAGACCCACCTTTTCCAGGCCTCCGCTGCATATCTTCCGGAAGATTTCATCAGAGTGGGGCAGCTGACAAAGCGAGTGGACATATTCAGCTGTGGAATAGTAAGAGCTTCCTTCTGTGCTCAAATCAAGGCCTGCACACATCTGTCCTTCCCATGGCTCCTCTGTAAGCACAAACTAGAAATGTTCCATGAAGTACAGCAGGAGTTGGCAAACTATGGCCCACAGGTCAGAACTGGCTTATGGCCTATTTTCTATGGCCTATAATTAAGAATAGTTTTTACATTTATAAAAGACTGAATAGTAACAACAAAAGCAATAATAAAAGAATGTGTGACAGAAATTGTTTGTGGCTCACAAAACCTAAAATATTTACTATCTAGGCCAGAAAGTAAATATCTCTAGAAATACTTACTTTCTAGAGAGAGTTTGCCAACCCTTGAAGTAAAGCTCCCCCTCCCCATGAGTGTCCAGATTCTAATAGGCTACAGATGGCTTCTGACTTCCCTGATGTGCATTCAGCCTGCCATCTAATTATCCACCCACTTGTCTATTTCTTCTTGTTTGTTCATCTGTCTGTTTAGTCCATCTGTCCATCAGTTCAGTTATTATCTAACCATTCATGCAACAGCCACCCATCCATTCAGAATCTATCCAGCCATCCAACCCGTGTCCTAATCACCACTGCTGTCCATCATTACTGTGTGCCAGGCACTTGGAATATAAATGTAGCTAAAACACAGTCCCTCCCCCAAGAGTTCATGGTCTGAGCCTAGCAATCTCCAAAGCACATTTCTATAAAACACTAGTTCCCTGAGATCTCAATAGGTTTGATGTGTTTAAAGGGTTTCGATGTGTTCAAATAGGTTTGAGAAACGCTGGGTTGAACAAGGTTATGCAGAAAAAAAGTTACCACAAAAAATTTACCAGGGCCTTTCATATGGTAATGGTCTTTAATCTGGTAATAGTGAGACAAGGGTATACAGCGTGTCCCGAATTCCCTTGACTATGGAACCTTGTTTTCTTAGCATCTCTAAACATCAGAGACCTGGGGATCCCAGTCTGGGAAGTTCGGGCTGAGAAAAGTGAGATTTCTGGCTGACCTCTGCCTAGAGCCAGCAGCTGCATCTTGGCCGTTGCCTTCTCTCTCCGTCTCCAGCCTCCAACTCTGCACTTCCTCTCTTTGACTGCAGTCTGTCTGGTTCTTCCACTAATGCCCTTCCTCTGAGCCACCTTCTTCCCTCAGCCCAGCTTCCACATACCAGGTTCTGCTTCCCTCTGCCTGCTGGCCCATCAGCCCTTCTGATTTACTTGTCCTCCAGTTCTTTCCTGCCTCACCCTCTCCCCACTGTGGGGGTTGCTCAGTGAAGCTCAGCAGGGTCAGCCCAGGATCTTCCTCCCTTAAGAACGAGTGGAACTAAACCCCGAGACTGCCAGGCACATAGAGTGTAGAGCTGAAGAGTGTGAGTTTGAGTCCCAGCTCAGCTGCTTTCAGCTGTGTGACCTAGGGTATCACCAGTAACTCTGGGCCTCAGTTTTATATTCTGTAAAATGGAGGTGATGATGCATATAGAGATTAGTGAGATTCATTAGATAACATATACAAACTGGTTAGCAGAGTATGTTGCATTGATCAATATGATTATTATTATGGGGATTATTGTCAATTATTATAATTATCCCTGCCTTCCCACCCTCACTCCTGATTTCTGTTTATGCTTGACTTTTTAACTCAGTTCTTGATGTAACAGTTGACTTTCCCTTTCATTCATTCAGTGAGTGCCTACTGGCTCCCTTCAGTCTTTTTCTCAGCCCTGCTGCTGATGGATGGTATGATTTTCAACTTTGGTTCTTATTGTGGGGAACACTGCCTTTCTCCTTCTCTGTTGTTGTTGTTTTTGTTTATCTTTTTATTGAAGTATAGTTGGCTTACAACATCGTGTTAATTTCTACTATACAGCATAGTGACTCAGTGATACACATATTTACATTCTTTTTTATATTTTCCATCATGATTTATCCAAGAATATCGAATGTAGTTCCCTGTGCAATATAGTAGTAAGTCACTGTGTTTTTTTTGATGAGCGCTAAGTAACTTTTGTAAAAGGCCTGGCACAGAGCCTGCCCTGTGGAAGAGGCAGAGGAAGTTTGTCTGTTCATTTCCTCTTGTTCTTCTCTCCAGTCTTGGCAGGACCTCGACTGGAGTCCCTTTTCTCTTGGCTTCCCTCCACCAGCTGCAGGGGTGCCTTCTGTTGCCCCCTCCTGGCCACTGCAGTCTGTAAGTAACGCTGCAGGCCCTTTCAGGGTGGAGGAGTCATTCTTGGCAGTTGTTCAGTAGCTCAGTCGTGTCAGACTCTTTGCCACTCCATGGACTGCAGCATGCCAGGCTTCCCTGTCCTTCACCATCTCTTGGAGCTTGCTTACACTCATATCCATCAAATCAGTGATGCCTTCCAATGATCTCATCCTCTGTCATCCCCTTCTCCTCCTGCCCTCAATCTTTCCCAGCATCAGGGTCTTTTCTGATGAGTTGGCTCTTCACATCATGTGGCCAAAGTATTGGAGTTTCAGCTTCAGCACCACTCCTTTCAGGATTGATTTCCTTTTGGATGGACTGGTTGGATCTCCTTGCTGTCCAAGGGACTCTCAAGAGTCTTCTCTAGCACCAGAGTTCAGTCAGTTCTTTGGTGCTTATCCTTCTTTATGGTCCAACTCTCACATCCATACATGACTACTGGAAAAACCGTAGCTTTGACTAGACAGACCTTTGTTGGTAAAGTAGTGTCTCTGCTTTTTAATATGCTGTCTAGGTTTGTCAGAGCTTTTCTTCCAAGGAGCAAGCTGGCTGCAGTCACCATCTGCAGTGATTTTGGAGGCCAAGAAAATAAAGTCTGTTACTCTTTCCATTGTTTCCCTATCTATTTGCCATGAAGTGATAGGACTGGATGCCACGATATTCATTTTCTGAATGTTGAGTTTTAAGTCAGCTTTTTCACTCTTCTCTTTCACCTTCATCAAGAGGCTCTTTAGTTCCTCTTCACTTTCTGCCACGAGGGTGGTGTCATCTGCATATCTGAGGTTATTGATATTTCTCCGGGCAATCTTGATTCCAGCTTGTACTTCCTCGCAGTAACTGGACCTTATTCTGTCTTTGAGAAAGGTTGTTGGAGGGAGATTTAACATTAAGCTGGAGTACCCATTCCCTCATATATACAGTCATTAGATCACCATGTACCAGATAAGGGTACAGGCTCAGATTTTAGTTTCTTGCCCACAGATCACCCAAGCATGTAAGGAACAGAGTCAGAATGTGAACCCAGGCCTATGTGACTGTAGACTCCTTAGCAAGTGTGCTGTTACCTCTGCTGAGAATTTCTGTTCAAAGCAGGTCTCCCATTTATTAAGATACAAATCACAGTTTGTCAGTTTGGTGGTGGCTTACACCAGCTCAGGACTCTGCTCCTTTCATGAATGGATGAATTAATGAGCAAATAATGTTAATAAAAGCCTGTGGATGAAAATGCTATGGATATTGCCAAGATTTTCTGTCTGGAATAGATATCTGCATGTGGATTCCTCCTTTTCTTGAGATTAACATAGCAGTGCCTGCTTACCATTTCTGCTGGGTTTTTAATGAAAATATCTTTAATATATATAGTGTGTGTATACATATGTATGTGTGTATACAGATAGATGTGTTTTTTATATATATATATATATATATATATATATAGAGAGAGAGAGAGAGAGAAGGGTGTGTGTGTGTGTTTGTGTGTGTGTATCTATCTGATGGTAACACATACACAATTGGTTTTCATCCTCCTTGCTTTGCTATCAATTTAAACCTCTCCTAGCAGCTGGGCGATGTGTTTAGCTAGAGGAGGTGTTTAGTGATGTTTACACATTCCAGATTTGGGGCAAATGTCTATGCTGGCAAATGACAGAGCCATGCCTGAAGCTCAGACTATATTCCTGAGAAGAAGCTTCTCTCTTGGCCAGAATCTCCTGTGTGAACTTGTGCATGTGTGTCCGAACCGTGCTAACTCTGTATTCTCTCCAGGTGTTAGCCGAGGTCCTCACAGGCATCCCTGCGATGGATAACAACCGGAACCCGGTTTACTTGGTAAGGGAACCAACCCCTTCTGGCTCACAGCTATGAGAGGTCGAGGGGTGGGGAGGGCAGGAACCTCCACTGTACCCATCTGTACCCATTTTTATTGCTAATGAGGCCTAAATCCAGGGTTTGATTTGTACCTGTGCAAAGCAGCTGTAACCTTCCCCCATCACCAGCCAGACAACTACTTTTGCATGAAAATAGAGTTTAGAATGTTTGGGGAAAATCCATTTCTTCTGTCTACATGTCAGGCAATCAAATAGGGTTTGTTTGGTTTTTTTTTTTTTGGCCACACCATGCGGCATGTGGGCTCAGTTCCCCAATCAGGGATCAAACCCACGCCCACTGCAAGGGAAACACAGTATTAATCTCGGGACCACCAGGGAAGTCCCAGCATTTGTCTTTAAATTGATGAAAGTAAATTTCAGCCCTTTTACGTTTCTATAATAATTTCTAAATAATTTCTATTTTGCAGGTTTATAACAACTGTCATTCAAATATACATGTGTATGTGTATAGTGTCAATTTCAAAAATATGATGACATAGCCCAACTCTGTGTTTGACACTTTATATATGTGTGTGTAAGTGCTCAGTCATGTCCTACTCTTTGCAACCTCATGGACTATAGCCTGCCAGGCTCCTGTCTGTAGTATTTTCCAGGCAAAAATACTGTAAAGAGTTGCCATTTCCTCCTCCAGGGGATCTTTCCAACCCAGGGATCGAACCCAAGTCTCCTGCGTCTCCTGCACTGGCAAGTGGATTCAGTTGGGAGTTGGTTAAAAAAGTGACAATAGTGGGGACTTCCCTGATGGTCCAGTGGTTAAGATTCCTCCAGGGAACACAGATTTGATCCCTGGTCCATGAGCTAGGATCCCACATACCACGAGGGAGCTAAAGGCATGTGCTACAACTTCTGTAGCCTGTGAGCCCTAGAGCCTGTACTCTGCAACAAGAGAAGTCATCCTAATGAAAAGCCCTTGCGCACCTTGATTAGAGAGTAGCCCCCATGCATCCCACCGATGGAAAGCCCGCGTGTAGCAATGGAGGCCCAGCACAGCCAAAAATAAATAAATAACGAATGATGGTAGGGACTTCCCTGGTGGTCTGGTGGTTAAGACTTCACACTTCCACAGGACGAGACCATGATTTCATTGGCAGTAGCCAACTGGGGAGGGTCTCCTTACACCGTTCCTTCAGGGCAACCACTCTGTACAGGTTCTCATTTGTTTCAGATGGTGTATTAATTTCCATATTTTTAATATATATATTAAATCTATATATTTAATATATATATTTAATCAATACAAGTAATATATTTATAACCTACTTATATAAATAAATGCATACATGCAAAATGTATCATGTAACATAATTTATGCTATACAAATATATCTATATATTTATATAGTAATATATCTATTGTTATTTATATGGCATATCTTCTGTTTTATGCATAGTTCAGATTTCTGCTGAAATCTAACATGTGCAAAATTTATAAAATATAAAAATATACATAGTATTATTTATATAGTACATCTCCTATTAAATATATATGGGCCAGAATCCTACATCCTAACATCTTCCTGTAAATGTTAATAAGGTGAGTTATTAGTATAATTACACTGTACTGTACTATATTGGTATAATTGTGCTATACTGTACTATATAAATGATAGCTATTATCACTATTAATTACAATCACTAATAGAGCATTGTATGTTGATTCATGTAGTACAAAATTTATAAAATATAAAAATATACATAGTATTATTTATATAGTACATCTCCTATTAAATATATATGGGCCAGAATCCTACATCCTAACATCTTCCTGTAAATGTTAATAAGGTGAGTTATTAGTATAATTACACTGTACTGTACTATATTGGTATAATTATGCTATACTGTACTATATAAATGATAGCTATTAATTACAATCACTAATAGAGCATTGTATGTTGATTCTGTGTCAAGTACCACACTTTATGAGCTATGTCTTCTAATTTGTGTTAATCCTATTCCCATTTTCCTGATGAAGCAACCCAGGCCTAGAAAGGTTAAGCCCCTGCATTATGATATGTGTGCTATGAAATGCCCTGTACATGTGGGGAATTTAGCTGTTCTCCAATTCTTGGCTGTTTTACTTGTTTCTGGGATCCTCACAATTATTTTTTAAAAACCATGTTGGTTTTTGAAGTGTTTGCAGCTCTGGTGCCATCCTGGAGGTGGGTGGGGCACATGTGTTTGGACTCCACACCCCTGGACCTCACATGGGGGTGTTTCCACTTTTTCCCACAGAAGGATTTACTGCTCCATGAAATTCCCAGCAGCACCACATCGCTTTGCTCCAGGAAGACAGGTGTGGAGAAAGAGATGGCCAAGGAGATCTGCCAGAAATACCTGGAGAAGAGAGCAGGGAGGCTGCCGGAGGCCTATGCCGAGGCCTTGGTCACGGCCGCCTGCCTCTGTCTGCGGAGGCGCAACGCCAGCCTGGCAGAGGTGAGCCTGAAGCTCAGCCCTTCCCTAGCAATGAGCCCTGTCTGTGAGTTGGCTTTATCAGGGGCTCATTATGATCCCTTTACCAGTCCCTTCACTGAGAAGTGATTTCATACTCCAGAGCCATATTTGGTTGCAAACAGCAGTGTCTGCTGGAGCTGACAGCAGCTGACAGCAGAGATCCTGAGGATGCCTTGGACCATACTCTCAGATGTAACAGAAGTCCATCTGCTTTCTCTGAACCTGCTTTATTCCTCGTCCTCTCTGTGTGCCCCTTTTCCTTCCCTCCATCCTCTTGGTCAGGGGATATAGCCATGTTCATTTACATGTCATAGTTCTGTTTTCACTAAGTGGCCAAGTCTCCAGGCCCCAATTTCAACCTCTTAGTGAGAGGAACTCATTGGCTTAGCTGGAGTCAGGTGTCCACCTGTGGGCCAATCAGGAGTTCAGTATATAAACCTTCTGGCCAGGGGGGGTCAAGCCTGGCAGGTGGCAGGGCCAAGTCCCAGAAAAAGGGATCATTTCTTAGCCTATGGACTAGGCAGACACACCGGAAATCAACCACCACAGCAGATAAAACATTTTCTATGGCTAGGATATGCAGAGGTGGTTTCCATGGTAGTAGGTGTAAATTTGGGGACCAAATTTGCTAGGTCTTTTTAAGACAAAATAACTGCCTGAGAGGGCTCTTAGAGGTTATCCCGCTGAGTGATTTTTAAGTGGTGTCTGGCAGAGAGGAGCTTCTTGGGAGTTCCTTGTAGCAGAAAGAGAGCTGCAGGCCCTACCCATGACTCCAACCAGACCTCCATTGTCACTTCTCATAACTGTATTGGGTTCTTAGTATTTTATTTGAGGAAAGGGTTTGGAAGCTGAAAAAACAAACAAACAAACAAAGCCTTCAAACACCAATGCTTATAGCCAAGCCTCCCATTTTATAGATGAAGTCGAGACCCAGAGAAGGGGGGATGAGGCCAGAGGGATTTTCGGTCAGAGCCCTCTGGACTCCTGGCTCAGCCTCAGGTTCACCATCTTTTGCTCCAGGATGTGGCAGGAGCCAGAGACCAAGTCCCGACTCTCAGCCTGGGCTGGCTCCAGCTATCTGAGTGCATTCACCTACTCAGTAGTGGTGTGCTGGACCCTGGGGATAAATGGGGAACAAGGCATGCCCAGTTCCGCTTTCCTGGAGTTCACAGACTTTGTGCAGTAACTGTCTGGTGAGCGGTGTATGACAGGGGAGCCCCACCCAGGACTTTCCCAAAGTAATGTGTAAGCAAATGAAGAGCAATCCAAGCAGAAGGAACAGTGCATGCAAATAGCCTGAGTTGAGAGAGAGCCCAGCAAGGTCAGGGGCCTGGTAGAAGGTCAGAGTGGCTAGAACACAGAGTACGTGGGGCAGAGTGGCTTGTGATGAGGCTGCTGGGGGGCAGGCAGTCAGGATTTTGAGAAAGTCATTGGGGGTATTAAGCAGGAGCAGAACATAATCAGACTTAATGCTTTAAAAAGATCTCTTTCCCTCAACCTTCATTCGTTTTATTCTTTTGTTCAGGGTATCAGTTAAAGTACATTCAAAGAAGCTGCTCTGATGAGGAGACTCCAAAATAAGGGAGATAGAAGTTTATTCTTTTTAGCTCAAGTGTTTGAATGTTGGCAGTCCAGAGCTGATGTGGCAGTGCCGCAGTATTAGGGATTCAGGCTCCTGTATTATGGCTCTGCTATCCTTATCATGTGGCTTCCATTTCAGAGTCCAAGAAGGCTGCTGTAGCTCAGGCCGTCACATTTACATTCCAACCACTGAAAGGGAGGTCAAGAGGAGAACATATCCTCTTCTTTTTAAGGGTGTGACTTGGAAATGCACACATCACTTTTTCCCACACCCCATAGGCCAGAACCGAGTTATGTAGTTTTGTAGTTTTTAGTTTGACAAATATTTATTGGGCATATCCTGTGAAGATTTATCTCAAAAGGTGTAACATTTTAACCGGGCCTTGAAGCACGAGGAAGCATTTGGTATGTAGAATAAAAGGGACAGGGCACTATACATATAGACAGAGGAATGAGAAATGGTCCTTGTCCCCAATATTTCACAACCAAGCTAGGAAGATGAGAGATCAGTAAGGCCTGGACTTGAAGACAAGCAGACTTGGGTTTAATGGTCAGCTCTGCCACTCACTGACTGGGTGACCTCAGGCAAGGAACTTAACCTCTTCGATCTTTTAAATTTTTATTTATAAAAACTCATTGTACGTCATGTGCCAAAGGTGCTCTGTAAATTGCAAGGCACTGAGCAACTGAGATTTGTTATTTTTACTAAGGGTAGGTTTGTATGCCATTTGTATGAGAGAGAGTATATGTGTAAGGAAGAAATATTTCTTCCCTGCCTGCCTGCCTTTAATCTTCCTAACCTCCCTAACCAGAAAAGCCCTCAAGTGCAGTATCTATATTACTTAGGGCATTTCTAGTTGAAAGTGATAGAAACTCAATTCAAATTCTTAGATACAGACACACAGGCATAAACAGAAAGAGAAAGAGACGGAAGCAGGGAGCCTGTGCATGAGCGATTTTTTGGCTCATTTAACCACACCACAGGCAGGATAGGCATTGCCGGGACAGCTCGGCCCAGGGTCTCAACCAGCAAAATTACAGCAATTGGAATCTCTTGTGCCTGTGGCTCCCGGGCTCACTCTCTGCACCTGCACCACCACCCCCATCTCGAGCCCCTGCTTTACTCTGTGTGGGAGCTTCGTTTTCTCCTACTGTAAACACGTTTTCTTTGTGAGGCGGGGAATCTGGCTGTGCCACTGGGAAGGAAAAAACAGTGTTTCCTCAATAAATGTTAGATGCAAGAGTCCCAGAGAAAGATTTTGATTGGCCTACCTGGGTCACATGCTCAAATCTGGACCAATCATTAAGGTCACAGGGGTGGAATACTGTGATTGACCCATCTGGGTCATGTGCTGAGGTGGATGGTGGCGAGGTAAGCTCTTTTCAAAGGGAAGATGCTGTTCTTCCAGGCAAAGCAACAATCATTTATTAGTTCTTCAGTGTCTCTCTCTCTACCCCCCTGCCTGGGAGATCTGTTAGATTTTTATTTCAGGAAGAATCCTTGATGAGTGCTCCTGTCTCTCTTCCCCAAGGTGTGTAGCTCCGTGACTGCTGTGGAGGAGCAGCTGAGAGGTCCGGAGACCTCGCTCCCTTGTAGTGGGCTTTCTGAGGCCACAGGCTCTTCCTCCAACACCCCGGAAGAAACAGATGACGTGGACAATTCCAGCTTCAATGCCTCCTACTCCATGAGGGCTGCACCCTGGGCTGCGGCTACCCCCTCGCCTCCCCCGACCGCGGATGAAGAAGGCATGCTGCTGGCTGGTGGCGCAGTGGACGCTGACTCCTCCGCTGAGGCCTGTGCCTCTCCAGAGCCTCCCCAGGATGGTAAGCGTGGTGTCTCAGTGCTTATACACGGTCATTTATGTACCTTAACTCAGCCTATCACTTCTTCCTTTTCTCCCTCATTCATGCATTAATTTGGTTATTCAGCTGTTCACCTCCCAGTTGACTGGATGACGAGAGTCATCCTCCTCCTCCCCCCAGCCCGGATGTCCAGTCCCTCACTCAGGCCTCTCTATTGACCTAAATATCCTTTACCTCCATCTGCTCCTCTGCATGGCCTGTCCCTGTAACCCTCCCCCTCATCTAAGCTACTCTCGCTGGACGACTGTACAGCCTCCCTGTGGCCTCCCTGATCTGCTCTGGTCCCTCACCAGTTCTTCTTCCAAGGACCAGCAACTGTGGTTTTCTAAAAACAACTCCTGTCACCCCTCATTTAAAGCCCTTCTGTGGTTCCCCATTGCACTTAGAGACCAAGTAAAAACTCTCCCTGTGACTAGCAAAGGTCTGTCGCCACCTGCCTTTTCATCCTCACTTCACACCTTGCCAGCTGCTTCCAAAGATACTTTCTATTTCTGCTTCCTGGGTCCAAATACACCAGGTTCCTTCTGAAATAAGCATTCAGAAGGCGTTTACAATTCAGCATCCTTTTCCCATAGTAAACGTGGCTGCGTGTCTCAGACTCTGACCTTTCCTGTTGTTCCTCTTCCTACATGGAGGTGAGAGGAAAAAGAGAGAGTGTAAGCTTCATTCTAACACTGTCCCCCACTTCCAGGGGAGAAACACGGAAGCCCTTCCTCTCTGAAAGGTAGGGGTAGGTGGCAGGTTTTCCCTGCAAATGCAGAAGCAGTGGCAGTGCTCATTCCACGTAGGCCTGATTCAGAACGCTGATTTAAGTAAAAAACTCTGACCAAGTCTGATTTTCTTAGAATTACAATAATAGTAGCTATTTCCAACTGTCAGTAGTTGCGAAAGGTATTTACATTTTGTTCAAGTTGCTTTTCTTTATGTTGAATGTTAGCTACAGAGACTTCGTGGAAAATCGAGATCAATGAGGCCAAAAGGAAACTCATGGAGAATATCCTGCTTTACAAAGAAGAGAAACTGGATAGCATTGAGCTTTTTGGCCCCTGATGACTTGAACACAGCTGAGGACCCTCGTCCTCCATTGGAAAGATGAACATCAACTCAAGAAAAAGATCTAAGGAAGAATCAAGATCTCCCAGGAAACACCAAACATCAGCTTCCATTTGGTCAGGCGGAGAGACACTTCCACTTTTCCAGAGTGAGTCAGGGGAGATAGGACTCAGCTTTCCAAGACACAAAAATCCATGAAGTCCTCTTCCTTTCTTGGATTTGTCAATCAGAGCTCTGGGTTATCAGGACACTGAAGTGGAAACCCTGGTACATGAGCCCAGGATGTGGGCAGTTTTGTGGTTCTGGGGAGTATGTGATGATACCCACCCCCGCAGATGCTGTTGCCTGGCTCTCACCCTCGACAACCACTGGAGCATTCTGAGTGCTGTTGGCACTTTCCGAAGCTAAGCTCTCTAGGTCATATTTGCCACTAGCCGCCTGCAAACTTCCATGACCTCAAAGACTTTCAACTTGCGTCCCAGTTCGGTTCTTCACTCCTTTCTCAAGGTCTCAAGTTTTACACATGCCAGACACTTGGCAGAAGGCACTTGAGGTCTCTCTGCTTTCTCTTTTGGAAATCTCGCAACTCACAGATATTTATTTAGTGCTTACTCTGCACCTTTATTTTCCCATCCCATTAACGCTAATACTTTAAAGGAGCTGTTATTTAGAGAGTATGTGTTATTTATGGCTGGGTGAAGAACCAGGGGAACTAGTTTCATGATTGATTCTGCTGCTAATTAAGTCAAGCATTTAATTTTTGGGACCTCAGTTTCCTTGTAAGTAACATGCATTCATTCATTCTCCCTCCCTGGGCTGTTGGGGAGGAAGAGGTAGAGACATGGCTACAGAAATACTTGGAAAATGCACATCTAGTTTTAGTAAATAAATTTTTAAAAATGACATTGTCTACTTTTGTCATTCAACTAACATTTATGCAATGGGTTTATTTCTGAAAAGTCATGTTGCAAGTCTTTGTTAAAATGCTAGTTTAAGTTCAGTGTGTCCTATTTTAAATAAGCCTAATGTAGTGATTTTTTTTTTAATTTTGTAAGATAAAAATACATTGGTAAAGCTAATGTGTATCATAATTAGCTGTGTGTCCAGATAATATGGAGAAGTTTCTCTGCATCCATGAGTGGTATAGTGCGGTAGCTAAGAGGTTGGGCACTGGCTCTAAACTGTTGGCTGTTAATAGTTGGATGATCTTGGGCCAAATGAGGGAGTTACTTTGAGCCTCTGTTTCCTCATCTATACAATGGGGGAGGATAAAAAGTACCAGTTTCATAGGTTTGATGGTAAAAGAGCATTCAACAGCCCCCCAGTGAAGTCAGCTTTGTACTAGTACATAAGAAATCTGAGTGGGCTCCAGCCCAAGTGGACAATGATTTCTACTGACACCTTTGTCTTAAGCTCTGGTGGCTGTGAGGATTCAACTAGAGTCTGTGTTATGTACCCCCAAAAGGACCTGAGATGTGGTAAGCACCTTCAAATTATCAACAGTATGTTTCCAAAGCATTTTGAGCAATAGAGGACAGTTGCCAATTGGGTAATGTTTCCATATGACCCAGAAGTTCCACTCCTATGTATCTAAGAAAGGAAAATATGTTCATACAAAAACTTGTACACCAGTTTTTATAACAGCAATATCCATGATAGCCAAAAGGTAGAAACAGCCCAAATGCCCCATCAACAGAATCTGTGGCATATGCATACAATGGAATTGTATTCAACCATAAATCATGAAGTACTGATACAGTATGGGTGAACTTGAAAAGATAATGCTAAGAGAAGCCAAACACATATACTCCATTTTTGTGAAATGTCCAGAACAGGCAAATCCATAGAGACAGAAATTAGGAGTGTGTGTCGGGGGGAGCAGGGAATGGTTTGGGGAGGGAAGTGGTAATGATCACAAGATTTTAGAGTGATGAAATGTTCCAAAATTAGATTATGGTGATGGTTGCACAACTCTAAATATACTAAAATATAATAGAATTATATATTGGTCAGCTTTATGGTATGTAAATTATATCTCAATAAAATTATTAGATGCACACAGAGTGGTTACTCACAGACATAAAAAATTTTGTATCTTGAGGCTCCACTTATTTTTTGCTACACACAGGGTATTTTCATTTATTCTGGATCCTCTGTGTTTTCTTGTCTTTCTTGGCTATTCTTCCTCAACAGTACATTTGGAGCACTTCCTTCTTTTCGTCTGCTATTCCAGTGTATGGTTATTCTTTAATTTATGCAACTAACTTCACTTGCTGGATACTGAGACTGTTTTCATTCTTCTTGCAACCAAACCTTCCAAACAGGTTACATCAGTATAAGGTCAGTTGGTGATGTATTGGAGTGCATTTCTGCACATCCTCAACTACAGAGAATATCATGCTTTTTGATCACTGCTAACCTAATGGGTGAAAACATAATTTTATTTGTACTCACTAAATGATTGAAAATGGAGCCATTTTTTCATACGGCAACATGAAATTTAACCAATTTTGTGATTTGTTACATTCATCAGTTCATCAGTTCATTTCCTTTGCCCACTTAATTATCTTATTGCCAAAGTATTTACATAGTAAGGACATGAGCCCCTTGCTATGTGTTGCAAACATCTTTCCAAGTTTGTAACTTGTTTTTTAACTTTGATGTTTCTTTGCCAGAGGATAGTTCACATTTTTGTGTAGTCTTTTGTTCCCCCCCGCCACCGTCCCCCCGCCCCTCCGTGGTTTCTAATTTCTAATTCCAAATCCGTCAGTTTCTGGGTTTGTCACTGGGTCTCTGAACCACAGTTTCCTGCTCTGAAAATGGAGTGATGACGCGAGTGTGGGTTTGATCAGCGCATCTGAATCTGAAGGCGCCCTGCTAAAGAGGACAGCGCTGAGCAGCAGGGAACAGCCCCGGGAGCACGGATCACTCCGTGACCCCTTCCTCCACTATCCGCAGGCCTGCGGAACTGCGACCCCGCCTCTGCTTCGAGCTCTACGAGCTAACGTGTGTGGCTCCGCCCGTCTACCTTCCGACCAATGGACGAGTTTCGTAAGGCGAAGGGTTCCGCCTCCAGACTTACTGACCAACAGAGGAGCTCCGTCTTGCTCGGAGCTCCGCCCCTTTCTGATCTGAGCAATGGGCGCCCGCTCTTCAGCGCAGGACCCGCCCTCGCCGCACGCCGGGCTGCGGGCCGCACTGCTCGTTCCGGTAGGCGGGTCCAGCACAGGCCTGTGTGGTCCCAGCTCCGGCGGAGGCAGGGCCGGCCCCGCAGGATTGGGGCGGGCGGCAAGCAGGCGGTCAGGGCGGTGCAGGTTGCGGAGCCGACGTCCGGGCCGTGAGAGCAGGGACGGAGTACCGGGCCGACCCAGGGATATTCTGAGCAGGCGGACCAGGGCGCCGCCGACTGAGCGGCGGCTCGCCCCCTTCCGGCCCGGGGCTGGTCGGCTGGGCCTCGGGGGCAGGGCGGGCTGCGTGCTGGTCTGGCCTTGCTCTGCGGCCCGCGCTCGGCGTTCCAGGCCTCCCGGCCGCGGGCCCGCCCAGGGGCTGCAGGACTGGCCTCCAGGTGTGGACCTAACAGCGCCCTGTAGTCGTTTGAAGTGCTGACATCTGCGAAGGGCTTTGTATTGCAAACTCAGAGCGCGTCACAGTTCCGGAAGCGCTTTGACATCCCCGAAGTAGCGCTCTGCAAACTGAAGCTCTTGGTAATCGCGGAAGCACGTTGTGGGCTCGGAAACCTAATCGACAGAAACCTTTAGTAAATCCTGGGACCTTTTGGACTTCTCTGAAGCGCTTTGCTATCGCCGACATACGAAGCGCTTTAGCCTCTCTGAAACCTTGAGAACTGTGATGGGCAGTGGAAAAGGGGAAAGGTCAGTGAAGTCATCCCCTGGCTGTGACCTAGTGGCCTGCCCTCCCCCAGGGGTTCCCGGGAAGGCGGGAGGCTGAGGAAGGGGCAGCCAGCAGGGGTGGTGGTGGACTCCCGGCCGCCTGTTTACCTTGCAGGTGCCCATGGCGTCGGAGCGGCGCAAGGTCAAGTACCACTGGAGCAGCACTTCGGATCGGAGTTCCCGCAAGCGCAGCTGCCTCCGGGAGCCCAGTGATGTGGCCCCCTCCAGCCGCCCAGCTCACAGCTCTGTGTCGCGTTCAGGAGGGGCCAGCAGCCCCAAGCGCCTGAAAGCCCAGAAGGAGGACGATGTGTCCTGGGGCTCATCCCGCCGCAAAAGTTCCACCTCCTCCTCGCATTCCCGCCGCAGAAGTTCCACCTCCTCCTCCTCCTCCCATTCCTCTGGCCCAGGTGCGGGTGGGGCCGCCTGCAAACGAGGCCTGATTCCGAGCTCAAAGGGGTTCCTTTCGTCAGGGGGATCCCCTCTGCGCTCTGTCAGACCTTCTCTAGAAGAAATGGCTTCTCTCGAGGAGGAAGCCTGCAGCCTTAAGGTAAGTGGCCCCAACGCCTTGCAAACGGCGAAGCCCATTCCACTTGGATTGAGATGTTGGCGGTGGAGTTTTGGTGAAAGGACGCTAAGAAAAAGATGTTTGTTAAGATCTCTGGGGTCTTCCCAGGGAGCTAAGCGCATACTGGGTAGATGCCAGGGGATGGTCTGAAGTTCGGTGGAGAGGTAGTTTGCAAACTTGACAGCACTTTGAAATTACTTTAAAATTCTTGAGGCTCTGCACAGGTGTGGGCCCAGCTTCCTGGTATTGAAGTGTTTCTCAGGTGCTTGTAACTGGCAATCAGTCATGGGGGAGATTCTCTGTGCCAGGTGGTTGGCGTTCCCCAGAGACATAGGTGTATGTAATTTACTTGTTAATTTACGGAGTTGTTCCATGTACCTCGAGGCACAGAACCAAAAAAAAGGATTTGGTTTTTGGTGTGGCTTTTCACCAAGGTTATGTTTTCCAGCACGTTGGCTTTTGCATGGTGGGGCAGGGTTATTTTAGAGGTTCAACATTTAGTTCCCCAGTGGGAACATACAGGAGGGTTTCATAATGTTGGGAAGCAGACTGAGGAGTTCTTCACGGAGAAGGTGCATTTCATCCACTTATTTAACTTTTTTTTTTAAAGGATTAATTAAATTTTCTCAACACCTGCACTGTGTATGGGAGAGAGAAAGTTGAACGTAAATTTGGAAATGTTCAGTCTCTTCCGGTTGGGTTAGAGGGAGGAAACGAGTCCTAGTTTTTGTTGCCGGCTACTGTGTGAACGTCAGCCGCCTCTTTAATTAGGTTTTGAGCAAATGTTTATCGAGGTCCTAGCTTGTGCCAGGCAGTGTTTCTAGTTGCTTGGGATTTGCTTTCTAGGTTTTGGAGGTATGGGCCTTTAGAGGTGGGGAGTTCTGTACCTGGAGGAGCAAAGAAAGGCAAAGTCTTACTTGGGTAAGATGGGCTGCCCTTAAATAAAGTTATCATTAAAAAACCCAGAACCAGCCAGAAGGAAAAGAGTTTGTTCTAAAGCCTTTGCTGAGTGGTTTCTGATGTGCAACTGAGAAGTGAGGCTGTATTTAGCTCTGTGTCATCGCTGGCAGGCTGTTATCCTTAGGAGAAGTGTTCCACGTGTTTTCAATGTGGCCCTCACAGTCAGAACCCTTGTATGGGCACATTGATTTTTTTAAAAAAATTTAATGGTGAGTTGAAAGGCTTTGTTTTTGATATAAGTGTGGGTAATATGAAGTATATGTAATATGATGTATGTGAATGAGGTAAATATGAGGCTAGTTTGATCTTGTCACTTATCCTTGATGCAGTTTCAGTGGTTTGGGATACAGGGTAAAACGATCAGTTGATTAAATTGAATCTCAACAACCAGATTGTGAGGCGAGGAAGAATCTAGCGTAGTCTTTCAGGTGTGCTGCGTGCTGGGCTGGGTTCTCTGGAGAGCTGAGGGTGTGGCCCCTGCCTCACCTCATGGCAGACACGGCTCTCTCTCCTCCAGGCCTCAGGGGCCTGCTTTACCAGAGTCACTGTCACAGTTAACCTTGGAGAGATGAGCAGGCCGGTCCTGTCTCGGAAGTCTTGGGGCGCTTCCCTTGGCTGGCCGTCAGGCATAAGCACGTGCGTGAGGGTTGTGTGCCAAGCACCCTGTTGGACGGTGGCCCCACGAGGTGGCTTCTCAGGAGCTTGGTATCTGGAGGCAGGCCTGAGAAGTCACGAGCCTGCCTCAGGGTGCGGTTTGGTGGAACGGAGGCTGAGGAGCTCGGCAGGGGCAGCTTGCAGTGGGGCGTTGCGAGCCAGGGGAATTTGGATCTATCCTAAGCCATCAGGGCGCTCTGTGTGGGGAGGCAGATCTGTGCTTTTGGAAGATCATTCATGTCAGCACACTGCGAGACTTGATGGAATTAATCCCAACTAGCCTTCTCTAGTGCTGCTAAGCGCTCTCCCTGGAGAGGGTGTGTTAGTTTGAAAACAAGGTGCAGTCCTGTACTCCTGTAGCTGAATTTGAAAATGTCTCTGGCCTTCCCCTCTCCCTGCCCCTCTTCCCCGCTTCTTTCTGCAGTCATTTGCAGACTTGTTTGTCTAACAAGGCAAAGCCCCCTCACCACTCACCTACCTTCTTCCCACCCATCCACCTGCCCTTTGCATTTGCTCTGTGGACTTGGAGAGGTGCACGCTTAGCTTTGTGCGTCCCCCTCAGCACAGAAGCCTCTGTGCCAGGGCATGGAATATTCCGAGGGGAAGATGTTTATCTTAGTTCATTCTGGCTGCTGTAACAAAATGCCACAGACTGAATAGCTTATAAACCATAGAAATTTCTCATAGTTCTAGAGACTAGAAGTCTGAGATGAGGGTGCCTGCTTGGTGAGGATCCTCTTCTGGGTCACAGACTTCTCTTTATGTCCTCATATGACAGAAGGGGACAAGGACGCTGTCTTGGGGCCTCTTCACCAGAGTACTAATCCTGTCAATAAGAATTAGTCACTCTTATGACCTAATCGCTTCCCAAAGACCACACAGAATAACACCACCATGGGATCAGATTTCAACATTTGAATTTTGTGAGCAACACATTTAGACCATAGCTAGACTGGCATTTTGGAATCATTAGAGATTCCTGCTGGCCACCATCTCCTTGTTTGTGCCTTATTACCTCCAGGATAATTGTTGGCAAGATTTTCTCAGATTTTTTTTTTTTTTTTAATTTTTTTTGGTCTGTGCTGGGTCTTTGTTGTGGCAGATGGGCTTAGTTCCCCATGGCGCATGGGATCTTAGTTCCAGGACGAGGAATCTAACCCATGTCCCCTGCATTGGCAGGTGGATTCTTAACCACTGGCCCACCAGGGAAGTCCCTCAGATTCTAACAGTAGTTGATGATTTTCATTTACTTTATTTTTATTTTATTTTTTCATTTACTTTATAGAGAAGGTTAAATGTCTCTATTATGAGCACCTTCACCTACTTATGTTTAGCCTTTAGTATGACATAACCAAATTTTTAAAAAAATTTTTTAAATTTAACTGAAGGATAATTGCTTTACAGACTTTTGTTGTTTTCTGTCAAATATCAACATGAATCAGTCATAGGTATACATATGTCCCCTCTTCCTCTCAGTCCCACTCCTCTAGGTTGATACCGAGCCCCTTTGAGTTCCCTGAGTCCTACGGCAAATTCCTACTGGCTATTTTACATCTCACCCTCTGGCTGCCCTCCTTCCCGGCCCTGCCTTGTATCCATAATTCTGTTCTCTCTGTTTCTCCATTGCTGCCCTGCAGATAAATTTATCGGTACCGTCTTTCTAGATTCATTATATATGATATATATACATTAGTATATGGTGGTTATCTTTCTCTTTCTGGCTTACTTCATTCTGTTTGATAGGCTGTAGGTTCATCCACCTCATTAGAACTGACTCACATGCATTCCTTCCTATGGCTGAGTCATATTCCATGGTATGTATGTACCACAGCTTCTTTATCCATTCATCTGTTGGTTGACATCTAGGTTGCTTCCATATTCTCACTATTGTAAACAGTGTTGCAGTGAACATTGGGATACAAGTGTCTCTTTAAATTTTGGTTTCCTCAGGGTATATGCCTAGGTGTGAGTTTGCTGGGTCATATGGTGGTTTTATTCCTAGTTTTTTGAGGAATCTCCATACCCGTCTTCCACAGTGGCTGTATCAGTTTACATGCCCACTAACAGTGCAAGAGCATTCCCTTTTCTCCACACCCTCTCCAGCATTTATTGTTTGTAGACTTTTTGTGATGGCCATTCTGACTGGTATGAGGTGATACTTCATTGTAGTTTAGATTTGCATTTCTCTAATAATGAGCGATGTTGAGCATCTTTTCATGTGTGTGTTAGCCATCTATATGTCTTTTTTTGGAAAAATGTCTGTTTAGGCCTTTTCCCCACTGTTTGATTGGGTTGTTTGTTTTTCTGGTATTGAGTTGTGTGAGCTGCTTGTATATTTTGGAAATTAATCCTTTGTCAGTTGTTTCATTTGCTATTATTTTCTCCCATTCTGAGGTTGTTTTCCACTTGTTTAGAGTTTCCTTGCTGTGCAAAAACTTTTTAGTTTAATTAGGTCCCACTTGTTTATTTTTGTTTTTATTTCCATTACTCTAGGGGGTGAGTCGTAGAGGATCTTGCTTTGATTTACTTCATCACTTGATTTATGTTCTACCTATATTTTCCTCTAAGAGTTTTATAGTTTCTGGTCTTAAATTTAGGTCTTTAATTCATTTTGAGTTTATCTTTGTGTATGGTGTTAGGAAGTGCTCTAATTTCATTCTTTTACATGCAGCTGTCCAGTTTTCCCAGCACCATTTATTGAAGAGGCTGTCTTTGCCCCACTGTTCTTGCTTCCTTTGTTAAAAATAAGTTACTCATAGGTGCATGGGTTTATTTCTGGGCTTTCTATCTTGTTCCATTGGTCTATGTTTCTGCTTTTGTGCCAGTACCACATTCTCTTGATGACTGTAGCTTTGCAGTATAGTCCGAAGTCAGGAAGGTTGATTCCTCCAGCTCCATCCTTCTTTCTCACAACTGCTTTGGGGATGTGAGGGCAATCTGGTTGTGACATCTGTCACCCCATTGATCGCCAGGGTTGATTCGGCTGATCTGGCTGGCTAGGCGGGTGTTCCCTTCCTCCCTCACCGCTCCATGTGCGTCCCTCCCGAAGCTGCGCACTCGGTCGAAGAGGACGACCATCCCTGATAGAGGAGGACCGGTCTTCTGTCAAGGGTATCTGAGTAGCTGCGCTTCCCTGCTAGAACCTCCAAACAAGCTCTCAAAACTGCTTTGGCTATTCAGGATCTTGTGTGTTTCCATATGAATTGTGAAGTTTTTTGTTCTAGTTCTTCAAAAAATATCATTGGTAGTTTGACAGGGATTGCATTAAATCTGTAGCTTGCATTTGGTAGTATAATCATTTTCACAATATTGTTTCTTTCAACCTGGGAACATGAAATCTCTCTCCATCTGTTGATGACATGTCCAAATTTTTAATTCAGTTTGGGGGAGGAAGAGTGGAAGGAAAAGTTTGAACTTTATGATGTGCTGGAGAAGGAGGTTTAGTAGGTAAGTCAGGTCCGACTCTTTGCGACCCCATGGACTGTAGCCTGCCAGGTTCCTCTGTCCATGGGATTTCTCAGGCAAGAATACTGGAGTGGGTTGCCGTTTCCTTCTCCAGAGAATCATTCTGACCCCGGGATTGAACTCGTGTCTCTTAATCTCCTGCATTGACAGGTGGGTTCTTTACCACTAATGCCACCTGGGAAGCTAGAGCTTGTCAAATGTGAATCTCAATATTTGACCTCTGTTCGGTTCAGTTGCTCAGTCGTGTCTGACTCTTTGCGACCCCATGGACTGGAGCACATCAGGCCTCCCTGTCCATCACCAGTTCCAGGAGCTTGCTCAAAGTTATGTTCATCGAGTCTGTGATGCCATCCAACCATCTCATCCTCTGTTGTCCCCTTCTCCTCCTGTCTTCAATCTTTCCCAGCATCAGGGTCTTTTTCAGTGAGTCATTTCACATCAGGTGCATTCACATAATTCTCAGTCTTGTGAGGTGGGTAGTGTTATCTGTTTAATTTTTTTGAGAAGTAAGGCCATAGTTATGCTAAACCCTTAAGATTTTAAGCTTATTTGTTTTTAACTGAAGTATACTTGATGGCAGTGTTATCTTTCTGTCTTACTTGACAAATGCTTAGATATCAGTGAACAAATATTTGAGCATCTACTATGTATGTAGGCCCTGGGACAATGAGACTCAGAAAGATTAAATGTCTGGACCAGGGCCACACAGCTTGTACAGGTCAGAGCTACAGTATAATCCCAGGTCAGTCTGACTTCAAAGCCAGTGTTCTTGAGGCTGCTGCCCTCCTGTGAGCACCTACTCGTCCGGACCCAGTATTAGATGGGAGGAGCAGGGAGGTGAAGAGGGCAGCGTCCTTCCTTTGAGGGGCCTTTTAGAGGGTCACGCAACCCAGACACGAGAAAGCCTTGTGCATCTTGGCTCCCGAGTGATGAGACTTTCACAGGGGATCCTGCCTCCTGCTTCCCTCAGGGATGTCTGTGCTTGGGTGAGGCTGTGCTGGGACTGGTGGTGCAGAGAATGACAGTTCATCACAGTGCGATGCGTGGAGTGTGGTAACAGGGATATATGAAGTACGAGGGAGTCAGAGGAGTGAGTGACTAACCATCGGGCAAGTGCTCGCAGAAGAGGTGTCATTTGAGTTCTCTTGATGGACAAGGACATTTCAGGAAACAATGTGTGTCCTGAGAGGATTATGAAATGCTGTTCTGATGCTTGGGGCACTGCTTATTCCAAGGCCCTCCTTTCCCCCTTCTCCAGTGTTTCCCTCAGACACCTGGGTGAGTGGAGAAAGGTAGGAGATGATGCTGGAAGGAAGACTGGGGCCCAGCTTGGGAGGAGAGCTTCTGGGGTCATACGCAGGAGTCAGGCAGACACAGAGCCGTTGAAGCATGTTAAGAGGAGGTGTCACGTTGCCAGATTGTAGAATTCCTTGTGGCAGCTATAGAGAGAGGATGGGCAGAGGCATTCCTCTGTGGTACCCATCTCTGCCCATCCTTCATGACTGCTTCTCGGAGATAGCCCCCTTCATCTCTTTCAGCTCGTTCTTCTAGTCCAGTTTGTACTGAAATTGTTAACAGTGGCTGACTGCGCTGAGGGCTGGCATGACATCTCCACGTAATGTCTCATTTGCTAAGTGCTTTGTATATGAAATCACCTTTCATAATTTCCCATTTTTTTCCTCCAGGTTGATTCCAAAGATAGCCCTCGTAGCTCCGTGGATTCTGAATTGGAAGCGGAAGCGGAGGGTCAAAATGGTACAATGGAGGAACCACACAAGGTCCAGAAAAGGCAGAGGGATAGACTTCGAGACCAGGGCTCTGCCATGATCTACCTAAAGGCCATCCAGGGCATCCTGGGAAAGTCGATGCCAAAGAGGAAGGGAGAGGCGGCCCCAAGGGCAAAACCCCACATAGCAGAGTGTCCCCGCCGCGGAGAGGGACCAGCCAGGAGTGTCAGCGTGGCTGCTCCTCAGAAAGAGAGCGAGTCCACCCCAGAGGTCAGAGCGGAGGAGGAGGACGCTGTGCTGGAGAAGAGCAGCTTCTGTGACAGGAGGGTGCTGATAGACCCTCTGGAGAGACACAACGAGGAGCGCCTGGCTGGCCGAAGGGTGGCCACCGGGGCGTGCTCTCCACCCCTGGAGTTTCTGGAGGACTCTGACTCGCATCTGAATGGCCAAAAGGTGAGCCAAGCTCAGGTCAAGCATGGAGTTTTGAGCTTTCTTAAATGTCCTTGGTCTTTTTAGTTTGATCATAAGTATTACTCATTCAACGCAGTCCTTGACTTACCCAGGGCTTCAGGAAACAAACTGATAGTTCTCTTGCATCATGCCTTTCAGATTTATTAAGAAACCTCAATTCAGTGCTAGCTTTGTTTTAGGATTTATATGTTAAGATACAGATTTTCCTGTGTGACAAAGGCCCAAATCACATCCACTTAAGAAGTTGGCCTTACAGAGGATGGGTCCACGGCGTGGGCGCCCCGGGCGCCTTCTGCTTGGCTCTCTGCTGCCCCTCGGCGGCTTCCAACCTGTGGCTTGTTTGAGCGGCTGGGACCAGGCTCCACACCTTACATTGACATTCCAGGCAGGAGAAGGGGAGAAGAGCAAAGTACATTCCCTCCCTTTTAAGAGTTGGGCTCAGAGGTAGTCCCCACTGTATCTGCTCATATCTGTTGAGAAGAATCTGGCCAACACTTGCAAGAGAGTCTGGAAAATTCCAGACTGACTTCCATCTGGCAAACACTACATTCAGATAAAACTTCTGTTGCTATAGAGGTGGAGAAGGCAATGGCACCCCACTCCAGTACTCTTGCCTGGAAAATCCCATGGACCGAGGAGCCTGGTAGGCTGCAGTCCATGGGGTCTTGAGGAGTCGGACACGACTGAGCGGCTTCACTTTCACTTTTCACTTTCATGCATTGGAGAAGGAAATGGCAACCCACTCCAGTGTTCTTGCCTGGAGAATCCCAGGGACAGGGGAGCCTGGTGGGCTGCCGTCTATGGGGTCGCACAGAGTCGGACACGACTGAAGTGACTTAGCAGCAGCAGCAGCTATAGAGGAAGGAGAAAGTGACACCGAATAACACTGAAGGGAGACTAGCAGTTTTTAACATTTTTTCTGATTCGGAGGGAAAAAAAATTCCTCTGTGGTATTTCTCTCTGCCCATCCTTCGTGACTGCTACTCGGAGGTAGCCCCTCTCGTCTCTTTCTTCTAGTCCATGTTTCTAAGTAATTTCGCATTGTTTATTTTTTTAAAATTTATACATCTGTGGACTTTCTACACAGGAGACGAGAATTTAGTTCTCTACACTTCGATGGTACCCACACGTGTAAATGTATTCTCTCTGCCTTCCTGTAGCTCCCTGGTTCATAATACAATTTTTAGTCAAATCTATTTACAACTATTATGACCGTATTCATAGCTGACTGACTTAGTATACTCTGATTATAGTTCCATTCTTATAAAAGTTGATCTGCCTTGGAGTTCATCTTGCTTTGTTTCTTTCCCGTAGTTTTCTCTGTTCTTATGACTGTTTCATCTCCAAACTGCTAGTACTGTTGCAGCAAGGGACCCCTTCCAGGGCCCTAAACTGGGCTCTTGTCTAACCCTCGGAAATGAATTGTCCGAGGAGACACACATGCTGACAAAGCAAGAGATTTTATTGGGAAAGGGCCCCGGCGGAGAGCAGGAGGGTAAGGGGCCCCAGGAGAACAGCTCTATCACTGGCTCACAGTTTTATGGTGATGGGATTAGTTTCCGGGTTGTCTTTAGCCAATCATTCCGACTCAGAGTCTTTCCTGGTGGCCTTGTTCAGCCAAGATGGATGCCAGAGAGAAGGATTCTGGGAGGTGGGTGGACTGGGGTGTCTCCTTTTGACCTTTCCCAAACTCTTCTGGTTAGTGGAGGCTTATTAGTTCCCTGTTCCTTACCAGGACCTCCTGTCGTAAAACAACTCATGCAAATGGTTACTATGGTGCCTGGCCAGGGTGGGCAGTTTCAGTCAGTATGCTTCCCCTAACAGTACCATAAAATTCTTAATATTGTCAAAATAAGTAGTCTGCTCCCCACCTTTCTTTTTTTTGAGGGTATATCCCTTTTGATTCCTTATGATTCCCTTTTTCCTCTGTCTCTTTTCATCTCTGCTTTCTTTATGAATAATTAAGGAGAGTGCATATGATAACACATACTTTTAAAATTTTTGGCATACTTAAGTTATAAAACACTGGCTCAATTTTTTGAGTTGTCCTTTTCATTTTGAGGTTATAATACCTTCTCTTGTTTCTCTGAGAATATGAATTAAAAGCTTGTTTCGAAGTTTTCTCTCCACAGTATTTTCAGAGTTTTCTTTTTTTTTTTTTTCCATTTTGGTGGAAGTCTGTTGAAGAACAGCTTACGACCACTCAGTGGTGGTTCCTACCCATTCAGTGGCCTGAGCGGTGGGAGCTGCAGACCAGTGTTCAGTGGAAGGCTGAGCACTCCAGTCTTCCGTGGGGAACTGCTGAATCGGCACGGAAGGCACCTGCACGCCCTCGGACCAGTCTGCCACCTCAGGCTGAGTGGCGGTGAACTCTGGGGCTGGAACAGTCAGAGTTTTCTTCTATTTTTTGTTTTTTCCCCTAAATAATTTGGTGTCTGTCTTTTGTGGTAGGCCTTTCCTCAGATGTTTCGGGTATCTGTTCATATTTTAATGATGAAGCATTAAAAGCTAGTTGTTGGAAGTCTTGGTGCCTGGGTGGGCTTATCAACTGCTGCCTTTAACATCAGGTGGTCACCTGTAGCTTTATCCTCAGGCTGCTGGGGGGTGAGGGGTGGGGCCCTGGGACAAACCCTCCGGTGCTCCGCTCTGGAGCACAGGTCCAGCTGCTGGTGTTTAGGAGTCAGGCTGAGGGAGGTGCCCGGGTTCATCAGCGTCTAACGTGATGATCCTCGGCGCTGTGTCTGTTGCCCCTGACTCTTCCACAGGCTCCTTGGCTTAACTTTTCCAAGCTCACACCTTATCTTTTGCGGGGCGGGGAAGGGGCAGACCCATCTCTACAGGATGGGAGCAAGGATCTGGGGCTCTAACTTCACAAATCCTCTTTCATCTCCAGCCTTGCCTTAACATTTTGAGAGCTCTGATACCTCCAATTCCTGAGTCTTCTGGGGGCCTGTAGTATGATTCAGCATGTTTCGAGAAAAACCATGAGACTTCCCCCTCGAAGCGAGATGAGGCCCGATTCCCCTGCATTGCATGCAGAGCAATTCCGTGATCCCCATCAAACATGTAAGGAGCCTCGACTTGCTTGATGGATATCGAGACAGTCCCGAAGAACACTGTTACAAGTCTAGAGGGACCCTGAGGTTACCCCAGCAACGCGATAGAGCTCCATGTGCCCCAAAACAACTCGAGATGAGGCGGGAGTTTTCTCACTGCAGGCCTAGGTTCTGGCCATCTGTGATCTGCTTATCCAGTGACCGTTCCTCTATCTCCATTCTAGTATCGGATTATTTTTTTAGTTTGCTTTGCTCTTTTTCTGTTGCTTTCTCTTCATAGGTTTATGCTTTTTGAAGTCCATTTCCTGTAACTTTAATAAGAGCTTTTTGGCAGGGAGGACAAAACCCACATGAGATGTATTTAATTGGAAACCCCAAGAGCAGTAGGTTTTGTAAACTACTTTCCCCGCCAACCCAGTGTATAATGCCTGTGTTTATTGTCTAATGTAGATCATTGTTTTGCTGCCTGGAGTTCCCTGGTATGGTGAACTTTCCAAACTTCTATACCCAAACTCCCGTTTGTCAGACTGGACACTTAGATTGCCTGTTGAGTATATATTTGGGTAGGTTAGCAGATGAGTGTTGAGATCAGACAGTTTGAGTTCATATCCTGGCTCTGCTGGTGTACTGCAGTCTTAACCTCTTTGAGCTCCAGTTTCTTCCTCTATGTAAAAAGATATGATTCTTTAAATGTTATCACAGACTATTACAGGGATCAGCAGACTCAGTCTGTGAAGGACCAGATAGTAAATATTTTAGGTTTTTTGAGCTTTTAAGGCCTCCATTGCAACTATTCAACTCTTCTGTAATGGCATGAAAACAGCCATAGACAATACTTAAATGAATGAGCCTGGCTGTGTTCCAATAAAACTTTACTTAAACCAACAGGCAGTGTATTGGATATGGCTTGTGGGTTGAAGTTTGCTGAATCCTAAATTAATACATGAAAATACTTTTCTCAGTGCCTCGTGTATAGTAGACTCTCAGTAAATGCAGCTTTAAATCTCACCATACGCACTTGAACCTCAGGCAGTCTTGAGTATAGGTAATTGTCGATTTTCCCAAAAAGGAAATCTAAAACCTTTTCCTGGCCAACTTGACTATATATAAGGTCTTTCAAGGTCTTAGATGACATCATCAAATTTTGTTTATCATATGTATTTCTAGGTACATGTGCATTTTTTGAAGTCATTTTTTCCCCCCCACTGTGCCATTTACCACCCCCTCATATTTGATTAGTTTTATTGAACCTTTTCACATGTTTCTCTGACATGGTCTTTGTTGTCACTGGAGTTACTTTTTGACTCATGTAATGTGATTTCCTGAACTTCCCTGATGAGAAGAATAAGAATCTGACTCAAGAGGTCTGAGATGGAACTGTGCAATTAGTTTTTTTTTAAACCAGTACCCTGAGATGATAGTCTGTGAAGCAGCCAGGGGACACCTCTGCCCTTCCATCTGAGTTGGAATTTTAATTGTTATTATTTCCATTTAAAGTTTCTATTATGAGATATTCAAAACATTTATGAAAATTACCCACCTACACATCACTCATCGTCAATAAGTGTTAACTCACTGCAAGTCTTGTCTTGTTTGAGCAGCTCTGTATCCCTTTTCTCTCCACAAATTATTTGGAAGAAAATTGCACCTACCATATCATTTCACCCATAGATATTTTAGTGTTTATCTTCAAACTAGGATCTTTAGGGAAAAAATAAGCATAACTACAGTTCTAACCTCTCCCTCTGCCCTGTCCCCACAGTCCTTAATAGGGTCAACTATCCGGTCAGTCTGGAGAAGGGAATGGCAGCCCACTCCATTTTTCTTGCCTGGAGAATCCCATGGACACAGGAGCCTGGCGGGCTACAGTCCATGGGCTCGCAAAGAGTCGGACACGACTGAGCACACATATCCAGTCAGTGATTAAATTTCCCTGTTTCATGGCTGTTTCAGTTTGTTTGAAGCAGGATGTAAGTCATATCTGTCATTTTCTGAAGTGTTAAATCTCTTGGTCTCTGTAGATTCCTCCTTCCCTCTCCTACCCCATGTTATTTATTTGTTGTTACATATATTAAACAAACAAACAAAAAGATGTCATTTGACTTGTAGAATTTCCTGTAGCTGAGATCTCACTGATACAGTGTAGCACTTTTTGGTCTGTATTACTTTATCCCTGGAAATTCTATCCCACATTGCAAATAGCTGTTCCCTTTTCATTCAGTTTGTTCAGTCTTTGGAGGTAAAGTTTTGGGCATCCTACAGTGTAACCATGTCTAATTATTCTTTCGGTTAGTATTTTAGGAAGTATGTTTCCACTGTTTAAAACTAAAAAATGTATTTAGTGAAAAGTAGCTTTCTAACTGGCCCTGCATTGCCCTATTCCTCCTCCTACATATATGTTTTTTAAGTTTCCAGTGTAATGTTATGCATAACCACTTACCTTATTGCTTTTTAAAAAGTTATCTTTATAAAAAACTAAAAACTATCTTTAAAACCTTTGTTTAAAATGATGTCTAGCACAGAATTTTGAGGTCATACCCCCAGGAATAATTATTAAATCTGTTACCTTTTTTTTGCTTCCCATCTCCCCTCTTTTAAAAAAAAAAAAAATGAGTTTAGGGAACCTCTTTAAATTCTCAAATTAGTTTTGCCGAGTTTTGTTTAGGGTCATTTATCTTCTTCAAATAAAAGAGTATATCTTGTACTACAAGAGACTTTGTGATGACTTGAATATGAAATGAACCCTCAGAAAAGGGAAGTATCATTTTGAGGAGAAACCCTTACCTTCCATTTGGGTATTTTTTATAATTTTAATCAGATTAACTTTCGTTGTTGGGGGAAAAGAAAATAGTGAAATATACCTTGAAGGGCTATATTGCAAAGATGTTAACTGTTAGTGTATGTGAGAGGTATTTTATTGGCGTGCTCACGTGTGAACATGTTGGCACCTATCTGTGACCTCTCTAGCATGTGGTTGCGGGTGCTCAGAAGTCATACGGTAGTCGACCTCCCCCAGAGGAGTAAGACTGCCTCGACCTCGTCCTGGAAGCTGCAGTCCCTTCGGGGTCTATCAGTTACCAAACAGGTTGGCCCAGGTTCAAGGGGAAGGGTCACAGACCCCACCTTTCAGTGGAGAGTAATGTCAAAGAATTTGCAGACACACCCTCAAACCGTTCAGACTGCATGCTCTACATTTTGAATGTGCTACAGACCCGCTGTTAGTGATGAGATGCTGGGCGGTGCTTTTCTCTAAAAACCGCCCCCCCGCCCCAATACCCTGTATGTTCTAGAGGGCAGTTTTTTTTCCAAGAGGGGTTCTTCAGAAAGGGAATGCGGGCGCAGCCTCCCTTCCAGGGGTGGCACAGGACACCGTGATCCCAAGTTTATTCCGGTAGCCTGGCTCACCTTCTGGGAAGTAATCAAGAATCCAGATGACGAAGTGCGCTACGGAGCCAATGCCGCGCCATCACCGTGGCCAGAGAGCGGCCAGGGCTTCTGAGGTGACCGAGCACGGGAGGCTGTCCTCGCACAGGATGAAGGCGAACCTTCTGTCTCTTTTCTCTGCAGCCTAAGGACCGGGAGGTGGTGATGGAGCGCGCCTCTTCAGGAAGTGACTGGTCCGACGTGGACGACATTTCCACGGCCAGGTTCTCTCAGGAGGAGCCCGTCTCCCTAAAACCCTCCGCCGTTCCAGAGGCTTCCGCCTTCGCCACGGACTACGTCATGTACCCGGCTCACCTGTACAGCAGCCCCTGGTGTGACTACGCCAGCTACTGGGCCGGCGGTCCCAAGGCCCCCGGCTACCCCTCCGTGGGCCGCGGCGCCTCGCCCGCCTCGACGGTGAGCCCCCCGCTCACCTCCAGGGAGCCTGAGGCTGCCAAGGAAGGCAGATCCCGGAAGTCTCGTTCGTCTCGTTTCTCCAGAAGCTCGGAAGAAGGAGATGTGAAGGAGAAACGAACATTCCAGGAGGACGTGCCTCCGCGTCCGGGTGAAGAACCTGCATCTCACTCCCTGCCCAGGAGCCGTCGGGAGCCCCGGCTGGAGGGTTTCATCGACACCCACTGTCACTTGGACATGCTCTATTCCAAGCTGTCATTCAAAGGGACCTTCACCAGGTTCAGGAAGATTTACAGCAGCTCCTTCCCTAAGGAGTTTCAGGGCTGCATCTCTGACTTCTGCGATCCTCGCACCCTGACCGATGGCCTCTGGGAGGACCTGTTGCAGGAGGATCTGGTGTGGGGGGCCTTTGGCTGCCACCCGCATTTTGCACGTTACTACAGTGAGAGTCAAGAGAGAGATCTTCTGCAGGCCTTGAGGCACCCCAAGGCCGTGGCATTCGGGGAGATGGGCTTGGATTACTCTCACAAGTGCACCACGCCTGTCCCAGAGCAGCACAAGGTAATATCATCCTTAGTTTGCTCAGTGTTCGTTCCTCTCTTAGTGGTTACAGAAGGGTTTCTCCACTTTGGGAGCTAAAGAATTTAGAATCTCTAAAAAGGTGATTGCTCTTATCCAGACCCCCTCTCGCTAGGTGTCATTGGGTAAATGCTTTGCAAGCTGTTTCTTTCCTTTCTGTTGTATTATGAAAGAAGAGGAGGATTGGGGCTGAATGACCTTTATAGCTAATGATACAAATGTCAAAGCTTAAATTCCTTCCTGGGAAGCAACACATTTTGTTTGTTTAATTAAACAATATGTTTTTCTTCTGATTTTAAAGTTAGTGTGCCCATTGCAGAATATTGCAAAACACACAAATGAGCAAAGATCATCATTTCCCAATCCAGGAAAGATAGTGACCATGGCTTCTCCCTCGCAGTGAGCTTCATTTCCTCTTGTTCTTTTTCAGCTGGCTCCTGGGGAGGACACATGCTCCATTGCAGCCACTGATCCTGTCCCCCAACAATTCTTTCTTAATAGTTTTTGAAATTCATATTTTTATTGTCACTATCCCTTGGAGAGTTGCAGGGGGCAGTTGGTGGCATGTCTTATGAGCACCTGTCAAAGAAGGAAATGAGTGCTGTATGTACGTGCCTTTTAAAGAAGAATTTAGGAGATTTATAGAGAGAAAGTAGTAGTTTGAATGTTTTTTCCACCGTGAAAATGTTCCTGCTTCATTAAATATTCTTTGAAAAATAGGCTTTTTTAAACAGCCATGTAATGTTCCACCCCAAGTCTATAATAGTTTGATTATGCTACTAGCTTTTGCTAGAAGCAAAAATTAGGTGTTGAAATTAGAATCTCTTGCAGACCTCTGCCTCTGGAGGAGTTCAAGGAGGGAAGATGTGTTAAAAAGGGCTCCAGTGGGCTGTGTGTACTGGGATTAGCTCATTGTTAAAGTCCTTGAAAGCATTCCATGCTGATGGTTTCCAGGTTCACTTTCCTTTAGTTGAAAACACAGGTTAAACCTGAGTTATGTCAGAATTGGTATTGGCTCATTGCCACTATCTTGAGAAGAGGTAGTACTGAGTGTTGGACTTGAAAATGTCATTCTCAAGTGAATCACCTGACTCAAAAATATCTTCTAATTTGATGTTAAAAATTCAAACATGAATTATACTCCACGATTGAAAAAACTACTCATGGAAATATGAATTACTCTTTTTTTTTTCTAAACCTGAACTTGTTAGAGGAAAGTAGAAGTTCTAGCCCAGTTTTTTTTCATTAAAATTGTCAGCAACATGTGTATTTTACCATTAAAGATTTTTAAAGTGGCTAGAGTTTTTTTTGTGTGTGTTTTTAATGTAATGTATCTGTAGGTGTTCACCTAGCAGGAGATCTGATTTTGGTTAAGAAAGCAAGTTGCAGGAAATACCTTTAGTATTTATTGTTTCCACAAGTAGTTGGGCACCTCTGGGTGTCAGGCATTGTGCAGATGTATCCATGGCAACTTTTTTGCATAGGAAAAGGTGTGCAAGGTGATGGATTCCCTCTGGGGAGTGGGAGTAGGAGCAGGGACAGTGAAGGAGAGGACACGTATCTTGGAGTGATGCTCCTGAGCCCTGACCCGCCCCTGGAGCCCCAAATAAGCGTTGCCTCGTGGTTGCTCCATGCAGAGCCTGGGTTCAGGCTTGAATCGGGGTGCTCCAGCTAATCAACTGCAAATTATTTGACCTCACTTGGAGCCTCTGTTTCTTTACATGATGGGCTGAGCACCCTATCTTTAGGTGTTTTTGAGGATTGCAGGTTATAATACACATAAATAATAATACTATCTAGTAAGCAGTCAGTAAGTGTTAGCTATTACTACATGAGTTTAAAAACAAAGAATGGGAGATGGTGGGGGTTGCCCACTGGACTGGCTGCTCTGGAGGTAACAGACTCCAGAATGGCCCTCAACCACAGTTTTTTGTCGCTACCTTCTTCCAGGTGTTTGAGAGGCAGCTACAGCTGGCCGTGTCTCTAAGGAAGCCCTTGGTGATCCACTGCCGAGAAGCTGATGAAGATCTGCTGAAAATCATGAAAAAATTTGTGCCTCCAGACTACAAGATTCACCGGTGAGAGCCTAGAACTTCAGCGGGCAAATGAAGTGAACATGTCCCTCTGTCTAGGATGTTACTGGGAAAAACAAATGCAGTGAGAAGAGCGTTGATAATGTTAGGTCTTTTCATAGAATCTTTTCAAAAGATTAACTGTCATTTTGACCCATGAGGAATTTCTGATACTTGACCACTTTTTACCTAAAAAATGACAGCTTCATATGGTTTGAGCTAACACCCTGAATCAGTGTGACCCCCATCCCATGAAGCAGGTTGTCACGGAGTCCCGGTTCTCAGAAATGAGAGCTGTTGATTTGGGGGGAAGCTGCTGTGGGTCCAGTGGCTGGGCACACAGAGAACACTCCAGGGCACCAGAAAGGAAATTTTCTCTCCTGCTTGCAGTTTGATTTTCACCTAGAGATTCCTTCTCCAGGGAATCTTCCCAACCCAGGGATTGAACCCGGGTCTCCCGCATTGCAGGCAGAGGCTTTACCGTCTGAGGCACCAGGGAAGCCCTGCTTGCATCTGAAAGCTCGCCCCTCCCCACCTTAATGTCCAGGAGGTGTCTCCTCTAAATGTTATCTAGGGTTTCTTTAGTTGGGTAAACTCACCAGCCTCCTGCCATGTGCCCGTTCTGGGCATGGAATGGCTTGAGGGGGCCCTGAAGGAGCTGTGAGAGACAGTCGTTGGTGACTCCCCAGAGGGCGTGGGGCGGAGGGGGCGCAGAGAGCCAGAGCACGGGCCCTTGGCTGCTTCTGGCTACAAAGGGGCCAGGAGGTGATGCCCAGCTGGCTCTTTCAAGACGGGTGAGATGGGTTAACTGAGAAAGCAGAGTCTAGATCCCAAGCGCCGTTGTGACAGGTGGCTGAAGAGGGTGGGGCTGTCAGGCCTCTAGACCACTGCCTTCCAGGCGCCCAGGCAAAGAGGGACACCTCTGAGTGGAGCGGCCACCAGAGATGAGACGAGGCAGTCACTGGGCCCTTCTGGGCTGATGTATATGCTACTGAGAACATGGACAGGTATCAGGTTAAGAGAAGAAAAATTCACCTGTCGGCCCCTTCCGGTTTATTCGATTACATGGACGTAATTTCTGCCCACAGTCGCTGTGATCCAGAGGGGCTGCAGTTGTCAGTTCTGCTTCTGACTGTGTCGACTGTGAGTCCTTGCCTTGGATGCAGTCTTTGCATTTCTGAGAATCTGTCCACCAAAATTAGAAGAGGTGCAGTGTCTAGAGGGGGTTGGGGCTTCGGCAGAGTGGCTCGTGAGAGAACCCTGATGTGGGAGTCTCCTCCTCGCAGGCACTGCTTCACCGGCAGCTACCCGGTCATCGAGCCCCTTTTGGACCACTTTCCCAACATGTCCGTGGGCTTCACAGCCGTCCTGACCTACTCCTCCGCCTGGGAGGCCCGGGAAGCTCTGAAACAGATCCCACTGGAGAGGATCATCGTAGAGACGGATGCTCCCTATTTTCTGCCTCGACAGGTAGGGCCGTCTTCAAGCTAAGTTGAGGCACTGAGGAGAGAGGGTGGGAGGTGGGCGGTCACCCATGCAAGGCTGGCAGGACCAGAGCCCCCAGGACCTTTCCAGGTCCCGCCCTTGGCTGTGTAGATGTCTCCTCTCTGTTGCTTTGCAGAACCAAAGTCTAGGGGGCTGAGAAGCTGAAGGGTAACCACTCTCTTCCAGGCAGTGCAAAGCCCTACCCTGTAGAGGGTTGTCCAGGAAGCGTGGGACCCTGCTCACCCAGAGCCCCCATGACTGGGACTCTCCCTGCGTCTGCAGGTAAAGGGGTCTCTACACAGCTCCAGAGGCCCTGCTCGGGGAGGGCCGGGGAGGGACACGTGCCTGACGGCTGTGCGCAGGAAGCACAACGATGTCCTCAATGCTTGGTGTCTTCCAGGTTCCCAAGAGCCTTTGCCAGTACGCCCACCCCGGCCTGGCCTTGCACACGGTTCGAGAGATCGCCAGGGTCAAAGACCTGCCGCTCGCCAGCACCTTGGCCACCCTGCGTGAGAACACCTGCCGCCTCTACAGTCTTTAAGCAGGGAGGGTGCCGCCAGGAGTCTCCTAGAAAAGGTGGGGGGAAATCATATTATGTATGTAGTTTTGCAAAACCAAGACCAAAAATGACTTGGTCTCTATAAACGTGGAGCAGGTAAACATGGGGTGAGCAATGAGCCTGGTCTGTCTTGAGTGAACTTGAGTTTGTATGCTAACTCAGTTGTGTCCGACTCTTTTGCAACTCCGTTGACTGGAGCCCTCCAGGCTCCTCTGTCCATGGGATTCTCCAGGCAAGAATACTAGAGTGGGTTGCCTTCTCCAGGGGATCTTCCCAACCCGTGGATCGAACCTGCATCTCCTGGGTTGGCAGGCAGATTCTTTACTGCTGAGCCACCAGGGACGCCCCTGAAGTTGAGTTTAACCTTCATCCCTTTCTCTTCCCCACACCCTGCAGGATGACCAGCGGCCTGACAGGAGAAAGGCCGCGTGCGCTCTGCTCATGGGTCCCTGCTCGAGGATGTTGCAGAGCCGGCTGGGATGGAGGAAAGCCGGACAGGGTGTTTCCCGAGACCTCCTCGGAGGCCTCTGCTTCAGGCTGGTGTGGGTGGGGGCGGGTGGGGTGGGGTGCAGTGGGGGGGCTCGGGACTCGGGCTGGCCTCCCAGCCACGGTGCTCCAGAGCGACCCAGGCAGAAGAGGAGGAGGGTGTGAGGGCGCAGCGAACTCACCCACCCCGTGCCTGTCTCTGCGGCTTAGGCGCAGGCAGTCTGCAAGTGCAGTCACGCTGCTCCTTGTTTAGTGCGCGTGAGCCAGTGGTGTGGGTCCTGGTTCTCTACTCTAAACACAACTCCCGAGTGGGAAACCTCTGGGGGACGTTGGCCCGATACCTGTCTTGGAGGCTGACGCTCCCGTGGCCGGTGAGGGAGCCCCTCGCTCCCCGGGGTAACTCTTCAGTCTGGCCCGCACCGTGGCCAGGGTCGGTTTTGCGTCAGCACTGACTCAAGGACCTCAGCTGCGGTCTCACTGGTTCCACTGCTGTTGACACAGAGAGAGCCGAGGGGCGTTCACTGTCCCGGGCAAGTCCTGGCTGAGGGACCCCGGATCGACTGGGGGGCCTGAGGAGGAAGCCTGTTTGAGGACAAGGACCCCCAAGGAAGGTGTTCTTCCCCTTACGGAGGCCCCCAGGGCTGCAGCTCAGTTGTGTTGAATTAACTGGTAAGGGTCCACTCTGCCGCAGAAACGTCTGCTAGCCTCCACTTTGCCCCCTTCTCCTGCAGCGTTGGACCAAAAATACTACTCCCGTTCCATCTCTCATAATGGCCCCTTGTGCGCCCCACCCAGGTCGAGAGGTAAACCGTTTAATTCTCCAAAGCTCTGTTGGTGCCGCCCAGCCCTGTTCCATTGCCTTTGCAGAACAAGAGGCCTGGTGTCCATCAATCTCCCACTTCCCATCCTGGGCTCTCCCTCACCTTGGCCTCCACTGTGTCCTTTCTCCATGGTGGAAGTCAGAGCCCCTGCTCGGACTGAGCAGCCAGGCCATCTCAAATTCTGAGCTGTGCTCTGCGCCCTGCTGGTGCCTTGTGAAGGTGTGTTCCTTACAGAGCCTGGAAGGTCATGACGGTCGAAGGGTAAGAGTGAGGACGCTCTGCACTGGGCACAAAAGGATCCTTTATTCCAACTTCCTCAGTGAGACAGGCCACCCTGCCTCCTTTGTTTTTTGGAGACCAGTAGCTGAAATCCTAAGATCCATCACTTGTGCTGGATCCCTCTAGGTGTTTGTGGAAGGTGCTTTGGAACCTCATGAGCTGCAAGGAAAAGGACTTGGCGTTTTGTGTGTGGTATTTCCTCCTTGCCCTGGTACCTAAGTTGCTGGCCTGGGAAGTGGGCCTTGATGCACTGTCGACCTTCCATGGATGAGCTGTGCATCATCTGTGCCTGAGATCTGGGGAGTCTAGAGCCTTGTTCTGCTTGGAAGATTTGGAGGACTCAGTGTTTCAGAGTGCTCCACTGTTCCTCAGATGAACTGCCGCTAGCCGTCTCCTTCACGACAAGGCCTGGAAATCACGCCGCCAACGAGGGAAACCAGCTGGGCCTGCGTGCAGTGACTCAGAGTGACAACTCAGTGGGCATCTGAGCCATCGCAGTCTCCCTGCCAAGGTGGAGCACCAGGTGCTATCTACTTTTATCTCCAGGACTAAGGATTTTCATTTCTATTACACAGTGAAACGTGACCTGTGGCAGGCAGGGTGGGGGTTGGGGGGTGAAAACCAGCTGGCATTGTTTTTCATTTACAGTTTTTGGATGGCCAGCTGGATTGTTTCTGCTTTGTTGATGGAATGCCTCTGTATCTCTGCCCCCTCGTCCCCTTTGGCCATCTCTTTCTGAAAATAAAGTGATGGATCTTCAGCCAGCTCCCATGGTCTCCATGTTTGTTTGTATTTCTCAGAGTGTTAGCAGTGGTTTGGCTGTTTCCTAGCTTTGTACCCTAAGGATCCAGGGGTCTGGAGACCTTCTCAAATATGTCTGTACTTCAGCAGAATTCAGCTGGAAGCAAGCAGCTTCGGTACCTTCTCCAGATCTCTGCTGCCTCTGAGCATTTACTCTCATTTTACTGCCCAGGAACACCCAGATACACTTCTGCTGCTTAGCCTTGAAAAATAGACACATTCTTTGTTCTCGACCAGTGAAACAGGAGGGGGAAAATGGAATAAACGACGGTATTGTTGATGACTCCATTGCACTGTGGGCTCTGGACTGTGAACTCTGGTGCCTCTGGGCAAACTCTGCATGCAGTGAAACAGAACTTCCTCCTGTCTTCCAGCTCTGTCTTAAGATATCCTTGGACACATGTGTTGAAGCCAAAAGTAAGCCTATCCAAAGGGAGGCTCTGTTCCAAGAACAGTTGATGAATTTCAAATCTGTTGATGTCTCCTCTGGGATGCACAGTCATTGGTTTGTGTATTTCCAGCACGTTCCTCACTCTGTCTCAGCTCCGTCCCAGCTGAGGGCAACTGTGTCTGCCTGACACAGGGATAGTGTCTTTGCAGCTGGGAGTCTGCTCTTGGCCTTCCTGGTGTTTGGCATCTTTCTCTGTGTATTAAGTTTGGGACCAATAGTAACCATTTACTGCAAGCACTTTCATTTTTATGTCATTCATTTCTGTAAAACCCAGGCAAATGTCCACTGTATGGTGCTTGAACAAAGTGCCCAGGACGGCAGCAGAACCGTTGGTCAGTGGCCAGGCAGCCCTCTTGCTTGCTTTAAATGCTTGTTTGTCAACAGTGTTTGGAAGTGAATTCAAACCAAAGTGCGGTTGCTAAGCGTGGGTCTCTGTGTACACTGTCCTAAAGGAATTTCTTACACCCCTGTGTGTGTGTGTTAAGAAGTCAAATATACACGTTGTCATTCTAATGTACTCGGCATATAATTTATAAAACAATTTTTTCATAAGGACATTTTTTTTGTTGTTGTTTTTCCTGTGCAAACACCTTGCTCAGCCCCGGGGGCGGTAAATATACCTGCTTCAGAGAACCGGAAGTTAGTGTTGTGGGGAAGTGATGTGGGCAGGAGAAGGTGTGAGAAGGCTGGCGTGGGACCAGGTTTGGAAATGCTGTGTTTTCTCAAGTGTGTCCCCTGTTTTCCCTGTGATCAGTTTTATTTCTTCCAGTTGTTAACCTGAAATTGTCCTTGACCTACTCCCAAGTTGATCCCATGTCTTATGAACGAAAATGAAAAATGGAAACAAAAGGCTACCTTAGGTAGCAGGACAAGAGGATATCACCTGTTAAGAAGCAGCAGAACGCAGGGGAGCCTAGGCCCAAGCCCACAGCTCTGGGTAAGTCAGAAACCTGTTTGATATGTGACCTTGGGAAGTCACCTAACTCCTCCAGACTTCAGTCTTCTTCCTCCTAAGTGGGTTTGTTGTGGAAATTAACTGAAATTACATTAAATTCATGTGAGACGTGTTTAGGACAGTGCCTGGGGCACAGCAGGAATGCAGTAAAAGGTGGCTGTTAGGATAACTGAATGCCTACCATGTGCAGATGTCCTCCAGGGAGATACTGTGTTCAGTCTTGACAGTGACCCAGGGAGGTGGGTGTTTCACATGGGAGGAGCCTGAGAAGTTCAGTGTCATGGGGTGGATCAGACAGCTGGTGTTCTCATTTGGGTCCGAGTCTGAGGCCCATAGTGTTCCACCCCACCATGCCACCTAGGCAAGTGGGAGAGAAGGCTTGTGTGTGCCCCCTGAGAAAGGTGCAAAGCCTTGTCTTTGTGGGGCAGCAACAGGTGACCAGCATTCCTCGGAGCGTGGCACCCATCCTCCCCTGAACCCTGACTGGCTGCTTCTCCACCAGGTCAGGAGGTGGTTTCTTGGGCTGTTTGATGATGGTTGGGCCTGGGCTCCTCCTCTGGATTTTCAGAAAAGGGCCCTTGGCATTGCTAGCAACGATGAGGGTGGCACCCCTGCTAAGTTTTGGAGCTGGGATGTGCCTCAGCTCCAGGCCCACACATGGGTCTCTGCATCAGAGAGAAAAGCTGGCTCACTGGAGGTGGACTTCACTTCCTCTCTCCCTCCACCCAAATCATTCACTGCTTTCCAATACCGTAGATTCCTCTAGTGGGGATGTGTGTGTGCCGAGTTGTGTCCAACTCTTTGCCACTCAACGGACTGAAGCCCGCCAGGCTCCTCTGTCTGTGGGATTTCCCAGGTAAGAATACCGGAGTGGGTTGTCATTTCCTCCTCCAGGGATCTTCCCAATCCAGGAACCGAACCCACATCTCCTATGTCTTCTGCATTGGCAGGTGGATTTGTTACTGCTGCACCACCTGGGAAGCCCCCCCTAATGGGGATAATGTCTTTCATACTAGGGTCATCCCTTAGAGACAGATGCTTTCAGAGCCAAGGGCTCGGTGAGCTGAGTCACTACACAGCCAAATAGGTGTGTGTGTTTTCCTGAGATGGAAGGGCTCTGTGTGTGTGTGTGTGTGTGTGTGTGTGTGTGTGTGTGTGTGTTCCTGAGATGGAAGGGATGTATGTGTGGTCTGCCCAATGGACAGGCACGGAGTTGATGGCAGAGCTGCAGCTTAAGAGTTGGGTGCAGGGAGGTAAGTGAAAGAGGAAACAGGATAGCCTTTTCATTCAATCTCCCTTTCATTGAGGGTCCCCTGCATTTCCCTAAGTCACATGAGAGTTGACACCTGTTCTAAGTCAGGTGGGGCCCCCTGGCTCTGCTGCCTGAATAGGACCCTGTGGGCATTAAGCCACTGTATATGCTCCTGGGGTCTTGTTAAAAAGCAGATCCTGATCTTCTAGGGCAAGGATGGGGCCCAAGATTCTGCACTTCTAAGAGGTTCCCTGGTCATGGTGACATTCCACGGGCTACGTGGTGCCTTGCTGAGGGATGGTGGTGGGCTATCAGGTGCCCATCAAGTGTGATGCGTGGTTTGCACTACAGGGCTGTGTCTTAAGTGATTGGTGGCCAGAATTTCACTGGAGAAGATACTTGGCTCCTACAGGGAGCCCTCTGGGACAAGGGTGTCTCCAGAGGGTGGACGTTACTCCAGCTCTACAGAGGGGTGTCCTGTGTGTTTCTAATGGGTGCACACATGCGGAGGCGGGCAGTGCTTCTCCCCTTGTGATCGCCCATCCTTCGTCACTAGCTCCAGAGTCAGTTCACACCAAAGACCACGTGACTGATAAGGGACATTCCCCCTGGGACGACTGGGTCTTCACTGGAATTCAGCGGTGGAACTGAAGGATCAAGGCTCACTTCAGCTGTGAGCTGGGGTTGGAAGGCTTTTGGGACGTCACCCTGGTGCCCCAGATCAATGAAGGAGCCCAGGCAATGGCCAGCCTCGGCCACGTGAGGTGGAGTCCGCTCGGCCGGGTCTTCTCAGTGGGCCAGGAGGAAGGGGAAGGGGCCAGGTCAGCCGTGTCTGGCAGTGGCTCTAGCTGTTGTTCGCACCCCAATGTGTCCAGCTTCAAACTCAGGCTTTCGCATTCCCAGCATCTGTTCCGCCCTTGAATATCAGTTCAGCGGCTCTGATAGTGTCACCGGAAATTCCCCTGCCCACACAGGCCTCACTGGTGGTTAAGAAGCTCTCCATGTACCTTTCTTTGCACTTGAGCAGCTCTGGTATCTAAAGGACCCTTGCCTGTCTTCCTTTCCTCTGTCTCACCCTTCTTTCCTCCTTTCTGGCCCCCTCCTCTGCTCCTACATCCCCCCAGTAAACTTTTCTGCTGAAGGTGTGGCTCTAATTTGGTTCTGTAAGCATGCACACCTTGCTACATGTTCATTTTTTCTCTTCCCATTGACCACAGACCAAGAATTGGCTGGCTGGGGGGGTTGTTTTTCAGTGAAATGTGAAATCTTCCTCTTTGGTGAAGTACACGTTTTGCACCTTCAGCATCCAGTTTGAGCACTGATCCACCCCCGGCTAGTACCCCTCAGAGCTGGGTGTGGTCTCAGAAGTGTTCTGGAATCCAGTGAAGCGCGTATGGGAGAACGGAGAGGTGGCTGGTCTCGGGGTCGGTCACTTGCCGATCGGGCTTTGTGAAAAGCGAGAGGTCAAGTCAAAGCGCCATTGTCTGGGGCTTCCCGGGGGGCCCAAGGGTTAGGACTCCGCACTTGCATGGCAGGGGCACGGGTTCCATCCCTGTGGGGGAGCTAACATCCCACGTGCCTCACAGTGTAGCTACGCCCACCAAAAAGCCCCCCGCTTTGTCCGCTGTCCTGCTGGGGCCAGCACAGCTGGCTTTTCCCCCGCAGGGTGGCGGATGTGGTGTGTTGTCGTGGGGAGCACTGGCCTCGGAGTGTGGACCGTGTGACTGGGGTCCATCCCCTAAAAGCGGGTGGGGGGGATGTCCTGGAACCAATCCCCTGCGGGTACTGAGGGATGACTTGCGTTTGGGACAGAGGAATCAGAAGCTTGAGAGGCAAGGGCGGGGAGGAAAACTTCTGTTTTGTTACCCATAGGCGGATTCACACTGGGACTCCAGCGAAAACTGGGAGTTAACCTGAACTGGGCAAGGTCTTAACCACCGGCTTCTTCCCCAAGGACATCCTGAAGAAACTTCTCCAGGGTCTAGCCATGCTGGTGGGACTGAGCCCCTGACAGCTTTGATCCCGGCGTCAGAGGGGGCATTGCTATAGCAGGAGGGTCCAGGGATTGTCAGAGGTCTCACCTCCTGCCCCCATCCCAGTGGGGGGGCCCTGGGCTCTCAGGAGCGGGAGGGAGAAGGGCCTGGGGTCCAGCAGGCACCCCTCAGGCAGGCGCCTCACCCCTCCTTCCCGGGCTGGTCTTACTACCCCCGCCATCTTTACCTCGCACTGAAGGGCGATTGCTTTACGAGGCTGTGTTGGTTCCCGCAGTACAACAGCGTGGGTCAGCCCTAAGTACACGTCCATCCCCCCCGAAGCCCCCTCCCCCTGAAGCCCCCCCCGAAGCCCCCCTCCCTCTGAAGCCCCCTCCCCCTGAAGCCCCCCTCCCCCTGAAGCCCCCCTCCCCCTGAAGCCCCCTCCCCCTGAAGCCCCCCTCCCCCTGAAGCCCCCTCCCCCTGAAGCCCCCCTCCCCCTGAAGCCCCCCTCCCCCTGAAGCCCCCTCCCTCTGAAGCCCCCTCCCCCTGAAGCCCCCCTCCCCCTGAAGCCCCCTCCCCCTGAAGCCCCCCCTGAAGCCCCCTCCCTCTGAAGCCCCCTCCCTCTGAAGCCCCCCTGAAGCCCCCCCTGAAGCCCCCCTCCCCCTGAAGCCCCCTCCCCCTGAAGCCCCCTCCCTCTGAAGCCCCCCCTGAAGCCCCCCTCCCCCTGAAGCCCCCTCCCCCTGAAGCCCCCTCCCCCTGAAGCCCCCTCCCTCTGAAGCCCCCCACGAAGCCCCCCCCCAGGCCATCACAGCGCCGGGCCGAGCTCCCTGTGCCACGCAGCAAACCCCCACCAGCTGCCTGCCTCACACACGATGGTGTATATGCCTCAGTGCTTGTCCTCACCTCTTTAAGGGCTTCCCTTGTACCCTCTGTGCTTACCACTGAGGAGGTTACTGTAAAAGCTCTGGGGTCCCCTAGAGTGAGTTTCCCCCGTCTTTGCAGCTCTGGAAGGCAGAAGGTTGGATGGCCAGTGGTAAGGGTTTCGGACGCCTGCAGGGTGATAGGGGACGGGGCTCTCCCTGGAGGACACAGCACGAGCCCGGGGAACGGTGTCTGCCCTGCCTCCTTCCCTTCCCAGGTGGTCTTTCTCTCGACTACACAGGCCTTTCCTTGTTCGGTGGAAAACCGGACAGGAAGCTGGCGTTTTCCTAGAAGGATGCTCTGAGCCAAGTTTGTTCTTCCTGTGCCCCGTCTCTTCCTCTCTACAGGGAGGGTACCCCACGAGCCCTACTTTCTCAGCAGCCTGTGAGGTGACTTGAAGCTCAAAGCTGTGGGCAAAGAGGAAGGAGCTGTTTGTGGCCATGTCATCGTTTCTCTCCCGGGCAGTGGAGACTGTTACTGTTGGTTACCCCAGCGACCATGTGGGTTCCTGGCCGTGTTGGGCACTGAGATTCTGGATGAGTCGGCAAAGGGATCTTGGGGCTGAAAAGGAGCCCATGGTCCTTCTGCCCCCTGCCCTCCACTCAGGATGCGTCAGCCCCATTTTCAGGTGAAGCAGCTAAGGCTCTAAGCGGTTGTATGACGTGCAGAGGGAGGTGGTGGCAAGGGCCAGACGGCAGACTGGACCCCCAGCCCTGCAGCCCCCGTGAGCCCCGGTGCTGCTGCCACGGCGCCTGGCGTGCAGCCCTCGTCCTGCTTACCCTCCGGGTAGCAGCCACTGTGGCTCCCATCTCACAGATGAGCAGAGATGCTCAGAGATGTTAATAAAACAGATATGTGCTGGTTCCCTATTCAAAACATACCTCCGTCCCCCTCGTCTCCTCCATGAAGATGAAGCGAGTGATGACATCACTGATCTGGGGGGACCTGGAGCCCCTGTCCCCGCCCTTCAGTGCACACTCATTTCCCCCCACCCCCTGCTGATGCGCGTACTCGGAGGACCCAGGCAGACCTTGCACAGCTCTAGGAGCGCCAACCTGGAGACCTGCCAGGCTGGACTGCACCCTGGAGCCGGACGAGGAGCAACTGACAGAGGCGCAGTGGCTGCTGGATGGGAAAACGGCCCCAAGTGGCTTGAAAAGACCCCTTTGGCCTCAGCGTCATCTGGTGAGTGGGGGCTGGGTGCACTGGGGGTGGAACTTGGTCTCCAAAGCTTCTAGGTCTGAAACTCCATTTTGGGAAACAAGTTCAGAGGGTGTGGAGGGGCCTGCGATGATCGAGATGGGACCCCAGGACTGGAGGGGTTGGGAGAGCAGAGCCAGGGTCATGGCCTGTGTCAGGGCCCCCTCCACCTCCAGACTTACAGACTCCCAGTTCTAGCTGAAGCAGTGCCTACCGTTCCCTCTGTGGAAACTAGAAACTTCTGCATCTGAGCTGGCTTAGGGCTTCTCTGGACCTTGCCCTGACCTTGACCTTCTCTTCCTTGCCCTGCTGGACCTGGCTGGTGCAATGGGAAAGTTCCCTCATTTTAGTCTAAAGATTTGCAGACTGGTGTCGAGGGGGAATGTGACAGGTGGGATCTCACACATGGTGGGAAGAGGTGCTGGTGAGGGTCAGAGGGTGTGGGTTGAGGATTTCACCCCTGACTCACAGGGATCGGGGGAGAGGCTGGGGGTCGGTGGAGGGAGGCCGAGGAGACTTCCTGGGCCACCTGCTCTCTCTCTGCCAGACGGGTGATGGGGATACAGGGCTTGGGGACTGGAGTCCCCCCACACCATGGGTCCCACCTCTGCCCCACACAGGCAGTGGCCCCTCAAGCCAGTGAGCTCTCCCAGCTGAACCTCTGTCCTTTGTCTCTAAATGAGGGCCTAAGGCCAGCCTTAAAGGCTTCACGGGTGGCTGTAGAGGTTAAATGCTAAGCAGGAGGGTGAAGCAGCGGAGAGACCGAGGTGTGGGCAGCAGCACAGTAGTTACCAGGCTCCCCGGGGCGATTCTGATTTCCCTGCACGGAGGTGTCTTTCTCAACATTAACTCTTGTTGGGACCATTCGCTGTTTTTCTAAGCACGCACACCTCCTCGAACCCACCTTCCCCACACAGGTGGGGAACTCATAAAATGCCTTCACACCCTCTTCCTCCTAGCCCTCTTTGCCCCTCCGTGCACAATTCACCAAAGCCTAAGCAAGCCTGGTGGGCTCCATTCTCATCTATAGGTGGGGTTTGGTCCACCTGTCCAGGGTGCTGCCCCCCATAAGATAAAGTCAGATAAGGTCTGCGAGTTCCCTGAGTCCATCAGAAGGTTTTCTCTAGGGAAACGTCTCCAGTCTGTGAGCAGCACTTTCTTCCTGGTGTCTGTCTGCCGGCTCCCCTTTGCGATCGCCTGGTGTCTGCTGGCACCTCCCTTCCCCTCTGCTTGGGGCTCATGCTCCTGCGGCACAGTTACTTAGGTATTTGCCTGATGATGGGCAAAGACCTCCCAGAGCCCAGTGGTACACAGTCCATTATCCCCTCCACTGCCGGAGGCATAAAACTGCAGAGACCCACCTGGATTTCCAGTTCATCTTCTGCACTTTCTGCCTGACTTCTGGGCCAAGCCAGCCTCCCAGGGCCTCAGGGCTTCAGCGTGACTGCTGGCTTTTTGGATTCCTTTCTCTGCTGGAAAGAGGAGGTGTTCTCCTTAGGACTCTAAGCCCCCTTGTCCGTCCAGAAGCAGAGTGAGGTACGGGCCCGCCTTTAGACCCAGAGGCCTCCTTTGTGCTCCGGGGGAAGGCTGAAGCCCAGAACAGGTGAGCCCAGGTCACACAGCTCAGGGAAGGGCTGGAAGGAGCGTCCCATTCAGAATGCGGGGCTCATGGGGAGATGTCGCACCTGCACTTTCTGATGTTTGAGGCTCAGGGCGCTGGAGCCCACCATGGCCAAGTTCACCCAGAGTGTACTGAGGAGAGCAGGCTGCAGACAGTCCCCAGGGCAGGCATGGCCTCAGCTGGCTGGGGACGCACGGGCCTGGAGGAGAGATTCCGGACCACGTGCCTCCCCTCCCCTCCCCTCCCTTCCCCTCCTTCCATCCCCTCTGGGCCCCGCATTCCATCCTCATGCCCGGAACCCTGCAATCAGCCCCAGGGCTCCGACCTAGACCTGGGGCCGCGATTGCTGAGTAGACAGCTTAGTGCCCTATGTGCCTGCCTCCCCCAGTAGGAGCGGTGGAAGGACGTGGGTGCTCTTTGCCAAGAATGTTCATTCAGAGGCAGAATGTCTGACAGTGGGACTCCCCATGTCCTCTGTCCCAGGCCCCGACGAGGGATGAGGAAGCTGAACCAGCAAGGTCCCAGGAGACTGTTCAGATGGCCCCGCAGACACTCAGCTGTCAGGGCAAGATAAACCCATAAAAACAGGTCCCCACAGAGGAAAGCCGCCAGAGTGCCTGCCTGGGATTCGTTTATTTGGCTGTGCCGGGTCTTCATTGCTGCAAGGACTTTTCTCTAGTTGCGGCGAGTGGGGGCTCTCATGTTGAGGACACGGGCTCAGCAGTCGTGGCACATGGCTGCATGGCTCCTCGACATGTGGCATCTCCCCAGACCAGGGATCAACCCGTCTCCTGCATTTGTGGGAGGATTCTTTACCACTGAGCCACCAGGCAAGTCCCTGTTTGAAACTGCAGTCCCATCTCAGGGCAGCCCAACATCTGGGTGCTGATTAACATTCCTTGGGAACTAAAAATGCTCATGACGCCCTCTGGGTAGAAATGAGCAGCGGAGGTCAGATGCCCTGAGAGATTGCTGGGGTGGCCTGGGGCAGCCGTCTGCTCCTCCTGTCCCCAAGCGTGCCCAGCCCTGGCTTGGGAGAGAGGGAGGGGGGTGGCCTTGGCCTGTCTGCTGTTCCCTTCCTGCGGGGACAGGATCACTTGATCTCAGGAGCACGTCCTGCCCCAGCCTTCGCTGCTCTCCATGAGGGATTCTGCTCTGGCTCTCATAGCCTCAAGCCTATAGGACTCCAGCTTGTGGAATTTTCAGGCCTCTCCAAGGGAAGTCCATTTTTCAGATGAAGAAACTGCAGGAGAGCTGGGCAGGGACCATCTCCAACATGGGCTGAACTCCACCACTTTCTTCTGGTGCTGATGGCTCGGCTCAGCCTTTCTTAACGTGTGGCTGGTCTCCCCAGTGGCAGCCAGGCTCTGAGAGGGAGCAGAGGGGCCCTGCTGGGACCTGGTGGCCACACACATTGGCCTTGGGGGGTCCCTCAGTGTCCCCCCGCTCAGGGCTGCCTCTCAGAGTGGCTTTCAGGATTAACTGAGGTGATGGGTGTGAAATCCTTTATGACCTGTCAAGTCTCATGCAGATAACTATTTTTTGTACCCTGGCCAGCCTGTGCTACGTCAGATGTTCTCGGATGAAGAGTTCGTCAACCATGTGGGGGATTCCATGCCTGCCCCGGACCCCTTCATGACACAGGACGCTTGGCCAGGACTCCTGAGGGCTCGGTGAGTTGGCTACGTAGACCTTCTAGTGTTTTGGAGGAGGAACTCACTTCTGACCAGGCTCTGGCTGGGAGGGTAGGAAGGGCCCCACTGGCAATGCAGCAGAGCTTTGAAGGGAAGCCCTGCGGCAAGCAGCGGGCAGGAGCGGAGATGAACAGCACGCATGTGCAGACTGTCTGGGGCCCCAGTCAGAAGGTGGGATGCTCAGAGGGTGGCAGACATGGGGATGCTCAGAGGGTGGCAGAGGTGGGGATGGATCATAAGAAAAGGCCTAGAAGGAGATGCCGGGTGAGGATAAGCACAGTTTGGGAGCCGCTGGGACAAGGTGTTGAGGCTGGATCTGGAGGAGGGAGGCTACGAAGGCTCCTGAGGGGAAGAGTGACCCAACACGACCTTAAAGACCTGTGAGGCTGCACCTCTCATTTCATGAGGAGAAAAGTGAAGGCCCTGAAGACCACAGTCTCCCCAGAGCCACGCAGTCCTCAGCGGCAGTGCCGGCTGCCCACTCAGGCTCTGAGCACGACAGAGTTGGGATCAGGGAGCCAGCAGACTGGAGGTCATCCAGTGACCCCCTGACGCAGATGGACTTCGGGGGGCACTGGACCCCTGTGGAGACTCTAGGGACAGTGTGGGCCCGGGAGGGGCTGGCTAAGCCCCCTCAGGGCACTGCAGGGGCTGAGAATCAATACCTCTTCTGGGAAGCTTCTCTCCACCAGCACACCCACTGTGGAGACTAGAACCCCTCCTTCAATCCCAGCAGAGGGTAAGCATGTCACCCGGAGGCCTTCGCTCTTGGGGGCCACCTGAGCTCAGGCCTGGGGGCCCAGAAGGCCTGAAGGTGGAGCAGGTGGGGAAACACACCCCCCACAGGCAAACACCCACGCTCTCTTGCTGTGTTATCTCTGAAAACAGAAATGTGCCTGCAGGTTGGAAATCACCCCTAGCACATCC